GATTTTATTTATTTGAGGAAGAGCGAGCATGAGCAGGGGGGAGGGGCAGAGGGAGAGGGAAAAGCAGACTCCCCAATGAGCAGGGAGCCCAATGCAGGACTCGATCCCAGGACCCTGGAATCATGACCTGGGCTGAAGGCAGACACTTAACTGACTGAGCCACCCAGGAGCCCAACACTTCCTTAATTTCTAGAACTGACTTTAATGTCTGACTCTGAGTCCCCACCCTGCCTCCTAATAGACAATTTAGATGTCTTCAGGTAAATTGAGATCCAATCCAGTAATTTTGAGGGAATGTAATTTCAGGCTGATTGACTCATCTTAGGCCAGTTCAGAGTTCTCCAGAGTTCCTGCCTCTTTCTCCCCAGCACTGATCCAATTCCTACGGAAATTATACAACCACCACTGGCACAAAGGGAGGTGGGGAGTGTCTACTTTCAGTGTCTCATCAGGGTCTTGGCCCTACTTACTGGCATCCTCTGATGCCCCTTGTTAGTCTGGGTCCTCTCCATGTCACTTGCATCTCAGGCAGCTCAGAGGACTGATCGGATACCTCCCTGTCCATAGCTACCTCCCACCATCTTTCTTGCCTTCCCTGTCCCCAGTTTGTTTCAGAAACTACCTAAACTTTTGTATTTCCTTCCTTAAGACCAGGTCTGTGGTAGAGAAGGCAAAAACTCCACACTACTTCTCTCTTTTCCTCTGAAACTTTCTCTTACTCTGTTTCTCCCTGAGTTCTTTGCATCTTTTCTCAAGGCAAGGGAGGAAGAAAACCCACTTCTGTCTCTTCTCATCTCTCTAAGTGGTTAGTGTCTTACTCTAGGAGTGGTGGCCTTTGGATTTAGTAATTCAGAGCTTGGGTCTTCCCTGTTGTCTGGCTGTCTTCACTGTGTTTAGTGTCCTTCCATTTGGCTGTCAGTTGGGAGAGGGTTGGCAGATAGGCCTAGCTGGGTAGGAATGGCAAATCAGGCAATACTTGAAATCATAGTTTTTTATTGAAGATTCTCATACAAGAGCAAATTGCGGTCATCAACTGCCATCTTTAATCTAGTAGACAGCAGTACTTTAGATCCTATATTCTTCTCTACTTTTGGAAGGACCTCAGGGTCACTGAGTTCTAGTCACCGAGTTCCTTTCAACATTTGGCACCCCATTTAACTGAGGACTTCTGATTTTCTGAGTGTTCCTGATTTGCTGATTTAACAAGATTTATAGGACAGCGTCATGCCCCCACACTTCAGGGTCTCCAAGTTCTAAGCCTTGGAGAGCCCCCTAGGCTGAGGTGTTAGGTGCTCCTGCCCCCAGCCCAGAAGCCTCCTACTTTAAGATGGCCTCATGACTGGCAATCAGTTAGCTACTTGGAGCCTCATTCTTATGTATGGAGTGGGTGTAAGGACCCTCACCTTGTGGTAGTTGTGAGGATTAACTAAGATAATGCCTATGAGTGCTCAATAAATGTTAGACTCCTGGATTCCAATTCCTTCCCTGCCTTCTTTTCCAGAATCCTCCATTGTGATATACGGAGATTCTGAGAATGAGATTTTCTCAGAACAAGGCTTCCAGAAGCTGTTGGTAGAGTATGAGGAGTGGAGAGAAACTCCTACCTTGCCACCGAGGGAAGCTATTTGTTTCTAATATAAGTGGATTCTTTGGGAAGGATTTGTGGTCCTACCCTTGAAAGGCAAAGGGGCTAGTTGTGCCATTTGTCAGCTCAGGAACCATGAGGAGATATATGGTGTCTTATTCATGGCAGATCCTGAAGAAGGAACTGGTGAGGAGTGTCAAGGGTCCTGGGAGGGAAGAGTGGTATTTTGAGGAAGGGAGGATAGGTGTAAGCAGGGGGTCTATCTTTTGGAGTCACAGAATGGCACAAAGGATAGAGTCCAGGTTACGCTTCAGAAAGACTGAATGCTCAAGTCTCAACAGTCTTCCCTGTAGACTGCTATCCCCTTGACAGTGGGCATGGCACAGGCTACACTCTGAGCCCCTAAGAACTGCTCCATACACACCCTTCCTGCTGTCATGAGATCCAGAGGGAATAAGGCCTGGCAGCAGGATAGAGTGATAGGTTGAGCCTATGGATCCTGGAGCCAGACAGCCTGAGTTCAAATCCCTATCACCTATTAGTCATATGACTAATATTAGTATTAGGCAAGTTACTTGATTTGCTGTGCCTATTTTCCCCTCTGTAAAGGGTGATGATACTATTAGTATCTATTGCATTGATTTATTGTTGACGATGAAATGAGTTGATACAGCTAAAGGGCTTAGAATAGTGCCTGGTGGAAAATTGGTATTTGATAAGTATTAATTTTATTAATAAAGCCTTTCCCTGTATTTCCTTCAGATATAAATGTTTTTAAAGAAGATGTTATAGGTACTGGTGAAACTCCTCATCATCCCATTCCCTTCTTCCTCACTGGGGGCCACTTTCCTGAGGTTGATGTGTACTATCTAGATTTTATTTTTTTATTTTTTATTTTTTTTAAGATTTTATTTTTATTTTTCGATAGACAGCGAGAGAGGGAACGAAAGCAGGGGGAGTGGGCGAAGCAGGCTTCCCACCAAGCAGGGAACCCGATGTGGGACTCGATCCCAGGACCCTGGGATCATGACCTGAGCCGGAGGCAGACGCTTAAGGACTGAGCCACCCAGGCACCCTGCACTGTCCAGATTTTAAAATTTTATTACATGTGTATATATTTATAAGTAACATAGTATGTAACACATTTTAAAAGATGGTATCCTTTTTCAACCTTTTTTCCACTCAAAATTGTGTGAGCTTTACCCACACTGACATACACAGCTCTAGGGCTATGTTCAGAATCTTTTCATTATTTATAGGTGATTTGGGTTTTCCCTTTGAATTACCTGCTCATATCCTTTGCTCATTTTTTCTTTTGGGTTATTTGTATTTTTCCCTTATTTGTAGAATTTTTAAAAATTAAAAAAATTTTTAAAAAGCAGTTTTGGATAGTGGTTTTTTGTAATAACTATTCTTTGTAATTTTGGGTTGGAATCCTTTGTTGATTCTGTGCATGGCAAATGTATTCTTCCAGTCTTCAGTTTGTGTTTTCATTTTATTTTTGATCTCCTGATTAACAGAAGTTAATAGAAGTTTTTAGCTTTTGCCTTTGCTTCATTATGGAAATTTTCAAACATACAAGTTGAAATATAATGATCACTCCTTAGATCTAACAGTCAGCATTTTGCCACATTGGCTTTACGTATTTGTGTGTGTGCTTGTTGAATCATGTGAGAGTAAGTTGCATTTTTTTTTTCAAAGATTTTATTTATTTGAGGGAGAGAGAGCATGAGAGCACAAGCGGGGGAGAGGGAGAAGCAGGCTCCCTGCCAAGGACTCAATCCCAAGACCCTGGGATTATGACCTGAGCCTCAGACACTTAACCCACTGAGCCACCCAGCTGCCCCTAAGTTGCATTTTTTATGACACTTCTTAAAAATAAGGACATGATTATAACATCACTATAATATTAAGAAAATTAACACTAATATCCCTAATATCATCCAATCTCCAGGCATATTCAACTTCCTTATTTGTCCCTAAATAATGGCTTTTACAGCTTGTTATTATGAATCAGGATCCAAAGGTTCATACTTTGCATTTATTTGTATGTCTCTTAAGAAACTGGGTTAGCTGGGGGCATCTGGGTGGCTCAGTCATTAAGCGTCTGCCTTCGGCTCAGGTCATGATCCCGGGGTCCTGGGATCAAGCCCCGCATCGGGCTCCCTGTTCGGCAGGAAGCCTGCTTCTCTCTCTCCCACTCCCCCTGCTTGTGTTCCCTCTCTCACTCTCTCTCTCTCTCTCTCTCAAATAAATAAATAAATAAAAATCTTCAAAAAAAAAAAGAAGCTGGGTTAGTTGACTTGTAGATAGTTTCACATTCTGGATTTGTCTCTTTGGTGTTGAACTTGTTTCCCTATTCCCTGTATTTACTTGACTGGCAGAGGGTGACTGCCTTTACTGCCAAATTCATACTGGGATAGAGAGTCTGACTTGTTCTCAGTTCCAATTCCAAAACCCCAGGTCAAAGTTTGCCTGGGATCAGATGGCCCAGCTTGGACAAGTGGTTATATTAGTTTCCTATTGCTGCTGTAACATATCACACAATTTCGTGGCTTAAGACAAATGATATTATCTTACATAGGCTAGAAGTCTGGCACGGGTCTCCCTGGGCTAAAATCCAGGTGTCAGCAGGACCGCATTCCTTTCTTGAGGGTCTAGGGAAGAATCCCATTTCCTGGACTTCTCTAGCTTCTAGAGACCACTCACATCCCTTGGCTCATGGCCCCCGTCCTCTGTCTTCAAAGGCAGCAATGTTGCCTCTGCTTGGCTGTTCTCCCATCAGATCCATCTGATTCCAAAATCCAGGCTCTTTGCATCACCCCTTGCTGCCTGCTGTCGCTTGGTGCTGTTTTCTGGACCGAAGTGAAGGACTTGATATTAACTAGAGCTGTGCTGGAGAATGTTTTAACAACCAGCTCCCAGTGAGGGAGGTTTGTAGTAGTTGCCAGTTTCTGTGGCATAAATACTCCCAGCCGTGGCCATTTTCAGGCTACCAACACGATTTCAACAGGCCTGAAAGCTTCCTGAAAATGTAACCATGGCTCCAGCACAGGAACCCCACATTTAATACTGTCCCATTTCACCTTGTTGGTGTCATCCAGCCTGCTGTAGCTGTCGAAAACAGATGGTTTCTACTGATCTAATTTGTTTTGTTTCCACAGGGGCTGTACCAGCTCACCATGGATATCATTGTGATGATCCGAGTGTGTAAAATGTTCCGCCAGGGCCTCAGGGGATTCCGGGAATATCAGATCATCGAGACTGCTCACAGAAAGCACCCTATCTTTTCCTTCTGGGATGTAAGCAGCTGGCCTTAGCAGGATTGTGAGGGTTTAAGGGGGTCCGATAAATAGCACCTCACTTCCCAGGCCATATTCTGAACCAACAGAGAGAAGACAAAGGGTAAAGCAGATGGGAGATCCAACTGTCACTTTTGTTAACGACGAGACTTTTACTGGAGGATGACTAAGACTAAACCCCAGAATTAGATAGCCTTACATGCCTGGTCATGGGCAGTGCTGGACCAAGGCAGGCCTCCACTGCGGGAGCATGGTCTCCTGCCCTAAACTCACAGCAGAGGAGGGCAGAGCAGAATGTGGCCTCAGAGAGATGGAGAAGGAATGATCTCACCCAGTTTTTCCTTCCAAATTCACCAACGAGTTTAAGTCGCTCCTTCTCAATATGGAAGGAGAGGGGCAGGTAGTGTTCTACCAGTACAACTCCCTCCATCTGGAAAGAAACACCAGGAGTAGGGAAGAAACCATCTCTATTCCAACAGGGATCAAAAGAGCCAGAGAAATCCAGAAGTCTCATTAGAGTCAGGGTTTTCTGAATGCCCACCCCTGTTCATTTCTATCTTCTTTTCTGTCCCCTCCACTTAAACAAAGGAACACATGCAGGGCCCTGCTCACTCCGGAGACCAGGCTTTCTAGATTTTCTAGAAGGTCCCCATTTCAAATATTTTATCCTAGTGGCAGATCATGTACCCTTTTTAGTTCGGAAAAAATTGATCACCATTCTGTTAACCTGTTCTGGATCCACAAAGGCATCTTCATTACTATTCAGGAACCCAATTTTTCTCCCAGTCTCTGGACAAAGCCTGCCCATTTTCCTGTGGTGCATAGAGTGACTAGATTCAGCCCTGCCTCCCAACTGCACGGGGGGTTCACTCCAAGAAATTGCCCCAAATGATTTCTGAAGGAGAGGGGTATGGGCAGTGCTGATGGGGAAAGAAAGGCCATCTTAGATCAGTCTCTAAGGGGCCAGCAGGTGTAACTGTGTGTGTCGCTGAGTTTAAGATGTAGCAGGGAGTAGGGCCCTGTGGGTCTGCAGAAAAGAAGAGCATGTCCCACCTGAAGACATTCAAATTCATATATTTTAAAGACATTATGCTGGCCAAACCAAATGAATCTACAGCCAGATTCTGCCCTGTGGATGGACCATGAGTTGGGAAAGGATGGAGTGGAAGAATAAGAGACTGAGGTTCGCTGTCAGGAAGGACATTCTGACTCAGAGTGTTACCATGCAGTGGTAAAGCAATGGGCCCTGGGATCCAGGAGTCTTTTGTTACCGGAAGACATGGGCTGGTGCCTGGGCACTTGGAAGCTGAAGACCAAAATCAGCCTTGTCATCAGGGGACTGTGAGGCTAAAGCTTAATGGCATTGCCTGGGCAGAGTGGACTTGAGCAGAGCAGAAGCCTCTTAATGGCAGCCTGAGGGGGTCCTAGGGCCACTGGGCAGAGAGCTAGGGGGCTGGAGAGTGGGGTCAGGTAAAGAGAGCCGTGGACCAGATTTCATTAGAGCTTGTGAATTTGGATCTTTCCGAGCACCACTGCTTTCTTTCACTGGCCTTCTTGAGAAGCACCACGCAGGTACACAAGCTATAAATGGGGCTCTGGGGTGGGGAGGACCTGAGGTATACCTAGAGAGATGGGGGCGTGGGTCTTGGTTTGGCCCAGGTGGTGGTCAGGGCCTTGTTTATCCCTTTCATTCCCCCTTCCTTCTTTCACATATCTTCCCCCCTCTCTCTGCCTCTTCCCCTACTCTTTCCACATCGGAAACTTTGGGGCCCTGAATAGTAATGAAGAAGACTTTGGGGATCCACGTAGGAGATAGAGTTGGATTAGTTCATTCCTAAGACCTCTTACACTTCCTTATTCTGGCCATACTCTAGGAGAGGACTGATTACTCAGTGTGTGATCCTTGTGTAGGTTCCTTCACCTGCCTCGAGTCCAAAAGGGGGCTCAGTAATACCTGCTTTGTCCTGAGGATGAAATGGAGTAAGGAAGATGAGTGTGCATGGCTCCTGATAGGCACTTAACGAAAGCTGGCTTCATTGATGCCTCCATTTTGTCCCTTTTTGTCCCTCTCCACTTGCCCATTTGTTTGCTTCTTTCCCCTCTTCCTTTTCTGTCTTCATCCTTCCCCTCTTTACCCTCACCCCTCCGCATCTCTCTCTGTTTCAACAATGACAGGTTGTTAATGCTGGGCTGGAGGCTGGAGCTGAGTCAGGGCTTTTGAGCAGAGGCTTACATGAGAGGGCCAGCTGGTAGAAGGGTTCCTGTGGCTTCTTGCCTGCCATGGGGATGGGGACAGGAGGGTTTCAGTGCAAAATTCTAGGAGTAGTCTTGCTGATTCTCTTTCTTCTCCCCCATTCCTTTTTACCCCCACCCCCCCAGAAAAGGAAACAAGGCCGAATCACATTTGATACTATGGACTTCGTTGCAGAGGAGGTACGCATAACTCTGACCTTGCTGCTGGGAATATTCTTCTGCACCATGGCCTGGAAGAGGCACTGGGCTGGGTATCAGGACAGCTGGGTCCAGTCTGGGTTCTGGCACCAAGCCATTGTATCATCCTGAGCTAGCCACTTAGTTTCCTCATCTATGAAATAGCTGATTTCAGTGATCCCAAGATTCCAGTCCTGACATTCTGAGGCTGTGAGCCCCCCTGAACCCACTGTCGCCTTAGAGCTGGACAGAACCAGCAGGGAGAGCTCCTGTACTTGGACCCATGGACAAGGAGCAAAAGGCAAAGTAGAGGCTGTGAGAGCTCTAGACACAGGAGAAATAATCAGGGTGGTGGGAAAAGCCCTGGCCTGTATGTGAATTCTGGCTCTGCCTAAGCCTTCTGAGAGACACTGGGCACACCAACCCTCCAGCCCTGCCCCCCCCCGCCGCCCCAGGGCTGCCAGACGGCCATTCTGGCAAGGGAATGCTTCATATCTTTGGACTGTGTGACTTGTTCTCTAAATTTCAAGAATTGTTGTTATTTTCCCGGCTTTTTCCAGACTATCTTTAGTCTGGATACTAAATTAAAATTTAATTAAAAAAATTTTTTAAAGATTTTACTTATTTTTTTTTGAGAGGGTGAGAGAGAGAGCCACCACAAGCGGAGCGGGGAGGGGCAGAGAGAGAAACAGACTCTCCACTAAGCAGGGAGCCTGATGTGAGACTCGATCTTAGGACCCTGGGATCATGACCTGAGCCGAAGGCAGACGCTTAACTGACTGAGCCACCCAGGTGCCCCAAAATTTAATTTAAATGTTAAAGGTGCTTACCTATTTATAGGAAAGATTTGAAGCTCTTACCAGCTCTAGGCTTATATCTGTGTCTGGTTGTGGAGATTCTAGGTAGTGTAACTGCCCTTAAGTAGGAGTTAAGGTGGGGAAAGTTACCTGGGAAGTTAAATAACAGAGTCAGTTCCGTAGGAATCCAGAGAAGGGAGTCTCTAAGGGTTGGGGGTGGTGAGAGATTCCTAAAAGAATTGGGGCCCCTAGTGGGCCCAGAGAATCAATTTTTTTTTTAAAGATTTTATTTATTTATTTGAGAGAGAGAGAATGAGAGCACGAGAGGGAAGAGGGTCAGAGGGAGAAGCAGACTCCCTGCTGAGCAGGGAGCCCGATGTGGGACTTGATCCCGGGACTCCAGGATCATGACCTGAGCCGAAGGCAGTCGCTTAACCAACTGAGCCACCCAGGCGCCCAAGAATCAGTTTTGTTCATAGAAACCAGAGTCATCTGTGTTTTGTCTTAAATGGACCCTGTGATAGAAATCCCAATGGGTTATTGATAACAAGAGAGGGTTAAGAAGGAAAAAGATTAGATTCAGACCTTAAAAATGGCTAACACAGGGCACCTATGGCTCAATTGGTTGAACATCTGACTTGAACTCAGTTCAGGCCTTCATCTCAGGGTCATGAGTTCAAGCCCCACTTTGGGCTCCACGCTGGGCATGGAGCCTACTTAATTAAAAAAAAAAAAAAAGTCAGTGCTTCCATAGTCTGGGCTGGGAGCCAGGCCCATTGTAAGCCCTTTATATGTATTAGCTCTGCTCTTTATACATTCAGGTTCTGCTGCTCTCAGATAGGGAAACTGAGGCTCAGGGAGAAGTGACTTGTCCCAGGACACACAGGTAGGAAGGAGCAGGCCAAGGTTCAAACCCAGGTACCTGGCACCAGAGCCTATGCATTATTTTATTTTATTTTTGTAAGGTTTTATTTATCTATTTGAGAGAGAGTGAGAGAGAGCACGAATGGGGGGGGAGGGGCAGAGGGAGAAGCAGACTCCCTGCTGGGCAGGGAGCCTGACTTGGGGCTCGATTCCAGGACCCTGGGATCATGACCTGAGCTGAAGACAGATGCTTAACCAACTGAGCCACCCAGGCACCCAGACCCTGTGCGTTATTAATCACTGAGCAACACTGCCCTTCTGAGTGAACATGCAAGGCTTCAGATCTGTTGTCCAGAGTTTCTCATCATGTCCCACTTTGTTTTGCTTCTGTAACAACTACTGTTAGTAAAATTAGCGAGCATTCGTTCATTCTTTCCCTAAACTTTTATTTTGTTGAGTGCCCGTTACATGTGAGGTTATTCTAGAGTGGGGTGAATAAGATAGATGAAGCCACTATTGTGTATATATTGTGGTTTATATTCTAGAACACCTTTGTCCAATAAAACTTTCTGAGATAATGGAAATGTTCAATTGTCTGTGTTGTCCATAGTAGCCAGCAGACACGGGTTGCACTTGTGGCTAGTGTGACTGAAGAACTATTTTTTTCTTTCTTTTCAGATTTCATTATTTGACAGAGACACAGCGAGAGAGAGAACACAAGCAGGGGGAGTGGGAGAGGGAGAAGCAGGCTTCCCGCTGAGCAGGGAGCCTGATGTGGGGCTCCATCCCAGGACCCTGGGATCAAGACCTGAGCCCAAGGCAGACACTTAATGACTGAGCCACCCAGGCGCCCCAGAAACTTATTTTTTTAAAGATTTTATTTATTTATTTGACAGAAAGAGAGAGCACAAGCCAGGCAAGTGGCAGGCAGAGGGAGAGGGAGAAGCAGGCTCCTCGCAGAGCAGGGAGCCCAATGCGGGGCTTGATCCCAGGACCCTGAGATTATGACCAGAGCCGAAGGCAGACGCTTAACCAAATGAGCCGCCCAGGTGCCCCGGAACTTATTTTTTTATCTAATTTAATTTAAATTTCAATAGCCACATGTGGCAAATGGCTGCCATACTGGAAATGCAGTTCTAGAGTGAGAGAGAGAGAGAGAGAGGTGTGTGTGTGTGTGTGTGTGTGTGTAGGATGGGGAAATGTTAGATAATATACACATTAACAAAAAAGAGGGGCGCCTGGGTGGCTCTGTCATTAAGCATCTGTCTTCGGCTCAGGTCATGATCCCAGGGTCCTGGGAGGGAGTCCCACGTGGAGCTCCCTGCTCAGTGGGGAGTCTGCTTCTCACTCTCCATCTGCCCTACCCCCCACTCACTCATATGTGCATGTGTGTGTATATGCGCTCTCTCTGTCAAATAAATAAGTAAATTTTTTTTTTAAGATTTTATTTATTTATTTGACAGAGAGAGACACAGCGAGAGAGGGAACACAAGCAGGGGGAGCGGGAGAGGGAGAAGCAGGCTTCCTGAGGAGCGGGGAGCCCAATATGGAGCTCGATCCCAGGACTCTGGGATCATGATCTGAGCCTAAGGCAGACAGTTAATGACTGAGCCACCTAGGCACCCTAAATAAGTAAAATCTTTTTTTTTTTTTTTTTTTTTTGACAGTGAGAGACACAGCGAGAGGGAACAGAAGCAGGGGGAGTGGGAGAGGGAGAAGCAGGCTTCCCGCTGAGCAGAGAGCCCGGTGTGGGCCTCTATCCCAGGATCCTGGGATCATGACCTGAGCCAAAGGCAGATACTTAACAACTGAGCCACCCAGGCACCCCTAAATAAGTAAAATCTTAAAAAAAAAAAGAATAAGTTCTTTTCAGAAAGTATGAATTGCTTTGTAAAAATGATTCAGAGACTACAGACTGCTAGGAAGGGGCCTAGTATTTTGGGTCAAATGATCCAGTAGGGACTCCCTGAGGATGTGGGAACATAGGAGCTAAGAACTGAATGAAGGGGAGGAAGCAGTCATATCCATGTGAAAATGCAGGGAAAGAACATTCCAGGCAGAGGAAACAGCCAAGCAAAGACTGCAGGACAGAAGTGAGCTTGGCACCTGCAAGAGATGGGTAGAAGGTTAGAGACTAGAGAATGAAGGAGAGAGGCAGGAGGTGGGGTTGTGGGGGATAGGGAGGAAAGGAGTCAGACCATGTGGGACCCCTAGGCTGGGGTACAGAATTAAGATTTTATCCTAAGTGAGATGGGCAGCCAGTAAGGGTGTTAACAACTCAAGTACCATTTTCCCAGCAGGTGGGAGTGGTGGCTGAATGGATGGATCTGTCTGCCCACTTGTCCATGAGTCCTGGTTCACCAGGACCTGGTTTCTGTAGATTCTGTTTATTTCTTAGTGTCCTGTAGCATGCCAAGATATAGGCTGAGGCAAGGGAGGTCTCCCCTGACTGCAGTGAACATATTCTGAGGGGCCCCTGGAGCCCAGGGAGCCCTCTATTGACTCGGGGTGGTCAGTGAACAGCAAAGGCAGTATGGTCAGGAGGTGGGAATGTGGGTCTTGGCACGTAGCAGATCTAGGTTATCATTCTGCCTGAGTGTCTTCATCTGTCAAATGGGAATCATAATTGTGTCACTTCTTGGGCTGGGCAAAGATGCAGTGAGATGGTGTATGTAAGATGCGTATCCTAATGCCAGGTGTGCAGTAAGTGCTCAGTATATGTGAGCCACTATTGTACGGGGAGTGGCCCCCAGGGGAAACTGCTGGGTCTTGCGTATCACTCTGGTCCTCTCTCCCCAGGGTCACTTTCCTCCAAAAGCCATGCATATCGCACAGAAGCTGCCTTCCTGGAGGACAGAGTCTGAGATCCAGACCCTCTGTAACCTCCTGCAGGTCCTGGACAGCTACCGAAACTACTCAGAGCCCCTGCAGCTGCTCCTGGCCAGAGTCATGCGCTTTGAAAGGTCAGTGAGGGGCACACCCCTTGGCACCTGAGCTGGGACAGGCTGGACAGGAAGAGCCTGCCTGATGAGGCCGTGGCAGGTCTGCTGGTGTCTCCGTGGCGCATCAGCCATGAAAAGCTATCTGTCAGTTCACTCGAGTTCTCCTTGTTATACTTGTAGCACACTTGGTTTCCTTCCTTTATTGCTAGTCTCCCCAGAATTTAGGAGCCACTGGATCTGGAAAGGCTCTGATAGGAATCCTCTGAAAGGATCTGGTCCAATTCCCTCCTTTTTCAGATGAGGAAGCAGAGGCTCAGAGGGTAAGAATGACTCATACTCTGTCACCCAAGTAATGGGGGTAGAGCTGAGACTCACATCCAAGCCTGAAAAGCCACAGCGGGTCACAGGTGATTGTACTTTGTCCAGATAGGAACTAGGGCAAGGGTCTGTGAACTTGGATAAGAAAAAACTTATATCTGTTTTTGTTAACCTCTAACTAAAATTTATCATTTCCTTTAATTGCAGATGTAGGTAATGAACCAGTATTAGCTATTCCTGTGACTTTTTCACCAAAAGAAATCACCAAGATTACACATTCATGTTGTTGCACGTTTCTCAAAAAATAATTTATATTCATCACAGCTTTGAAATTATGGTAGTAATTAGATCTGCTGCTCGATCTTGTTATTCAGGGCCTTAATAAAGATGCACATATATTGCTATACCACAATTGGATTTTTTTTTCTAAAGACTTATTTATTGGGGCACCTGGGTAGCTCAGATGGTTACACATCTGCCTTCGGCTCAGGTCATGATCCCAGCGTCCTGGGATCGAGTCCCGCATCGGGCTCCCTGCTCAGTGGGGAGCCTGTTTCTCCCTCTCGCTCTGCTGCTCTCCCCTGCTTGTGTTCTCTCTCTGTATCTCTCTGTCGCAAATGAATAAATAAAATCTTTAAAAAAATAAAGACTTATTTATTTATTTTACAGAGAGAGGGTGTGCGAGCATGAGGGGGCATGAGGGGGCAAAGGGGGAAGGGGCAGAGGGAGAGAATCTGAAGCAGATTCCCCGCTGAGCACAGAGCTCAGTCAGTTAAGAGTCTGACTCCTGATTTTGGCTCAGGTCATGATCTCAGAGTCAAACTCTTAACTGACTGAGCCACCCAGGTGCCTCCACAGTTTGGGTTTTAAAAGGCAATTATTAGCTCTTTCTGCTGTATTTTATTTTATATATATACTTATTTATTGAAAAAACATTTTTTAAAAGATTTTTATTTATTTATTTGAGAGAGAGAATATGAGCAGGGGGGAGGAGCAGAGGGAGTGGGAGAAGCAGACTCCCTGCTGAGTGGGGACCCCCCCCCATGCAGGGCTTGATCCCAGGACCCTGAGATCATGACCTGAGGGGAAAGAAGATGATTGATTGAGCCACCCAAGCACCCCTATTTTATATATTTAAAACATTATTCTGTGAAGGCTTCACTAGATTGTCAAAGGGTCCATGACACAAAAAGCACCATATAAATACCTTGTATTAGAGAAGTCTAAGATGTGTGTGTGGAAATATTGCCATTTCTTGGACATTTCAGTGGCTTAAGAAAGGCAGCCTAGCAGAATATTTGAGGTAAGGCCTATCTTATAAATCTAGGCTATAAGGACACTATCAGTCTGTGCCCCTTCAAGGAGGTCCCAGGTCCCATAATCACAACTAGCTATAGATTAAGGCCTGTTATGACCTGTGCAGGATCTGTTTAAAGGCATTAAGCCTGAGAGAGGAGGGAACCCTCCAGCTGGCTTGGCCAAAGGAAATTTACAGAAGAGGTGGCATTGGAATACATATATATGACAAGTGGAAGTATAGACAAGAACATTCCAGGTAGAGGGAACTATCTGCTTTGTGTCTAGCCCAGTAAAGAAGAGCAAGTCACTGCCGTCTTAAAGTAAGATTCCATAGCAGGCAGGATGGTGTCAAGCAAAGAAAAAGAATCATTGGGGTAGAAGCTCTGGAATGTGATGCTGCATCTGCCACTCTGAGGTGTGACCTCAGGCAAGCCACTTAACCTTGCTGGGCCTCAGTATCCTCATCCGTGTAATGAGGATACTGATACAGATTTTATGGGTTTATGTGAAGATGAAGGGGTGGTGATTGTTAAAGCCCTCTTCAGCTAGTTGATTATTTCTGGGACTGGAAATGAGCAGATTACACAGGATTCTTTCAGTCACAAGGGACAGAAAATCTAGCTGTAGGGAATGCAAGAGTGGCCCAAGTATCTGAAAAGTCCTGGGATAGTTTTCCAGCTTCCAGCTCAGCCGGATTCAGGAGACTCAGTGTTCTCAGGACCCAGTATCTGTCTGTCTCTCTCCACCTCCTCACACTCCATTCTCATAAACCACCTTCTCCTCCAGACTCTCTCTCTGGTGGCAGCAAGATGACGGATTGTCTGAGAGTCAAGAAAAGGTGTTTCCCCCAAAGTAAGGTCAGGGTGCAGCTGGTGGGAAAGGTGACCCGACGCTTGACAACAAAAGCCACAGATGTCTGCTACAGGAGATTTGGGGCCTCGTCCTGACTCAAGTGTGACTCACTGTGTGCCTTCAGCAAGCCTGGGGCTCCTTAGCTCCCACTTCCCTCATCTCGTCATGTGGATTCAGCTAGACAGTTCCTGAGGGTCTTTCCAGCTCCAGCTCCAGGAGTCTGGACTTGGATGAGCTCTAGCTGTGCTCCCCAAAGTCTCATTTCCCAGCTGAATGTGCCTGTCTTCTCCCATCTAGTCATTGTCATCTGGGCCATCTCTTCTTTCCAGACTTTTGTGTTCCCCATTACCTTCTGGGTAAAATCCAAAGTTAGCCCAGTGTTTGAAGTGTCTTGTGATTGGACCTAGCCAAATTTCTCTCCCACTATCCCACTGACCTCCCTGTCTTCTGTTTTCCTTTCTAATGGAGCTTACTGCTATTCCTTTGAAGGCACCATGCTTCCAGGCGCCTCTGTACCTTTGGACGTGGTGGTCCCTCTGCCTGGAACACTCTTCCATCTCTCTGTCTACCTGGAAGACTCCAGACATTATCCTGGAGCCTGCTCTGCCTTTCCTAAGCTGGTTAAGTGCCCTTTCTCCATGCTTCTGAATTCACCTGTGCTTCCCTCTCTTAAAGCATTTTTAAACCTTATTTAGTCCCTGTACTTGACCATAATTTTCAGGACAAAATCTGTCCTTTCTCGCTCTGCCTGATAGACACAGTTGGTATTTATTTAACTAATTGAATGAAGGAAGGAAACAAATGAATATTGAAAGAAGTCAAATTTGAACTTACATTTGAAGTGCAGAAATCTTTCCCCTCGGAGCTTAAGAACTAATTCCCAGTTTGCTCTGGACCTGGGCACCTCTACCCTAACGGTTCCCAATTATGTAGTGAGCTCTCGGGTATTAGAAGACTATTTATCTATTTTTTTTTCTAGGCGTGTTCATCTGTATTTTATAGACAAGAGACCCTGAGGGTCAGAGAGAGAATATGAGTGCCCACTGCCATGCAGCTTGCAGCAGAATCAGGACTTAGATCCTGGTCTCCATAATTTAGCTACTGAGCCATTACTTCCAGGATTTGGTCATTCATTTACTCAGTTGCTGTTCACTGAGCATGTCCTGTGTGCCAAAGCAGATCGACGAAGGTTCTGCTCTCAGGAAGCCTCAGTCTGATGGAGGCGTGCAACTAGGGGGATGTTAATGAAGATGTTGAGCTTGATGGGGCTGGGGCTGGGCTGTTGTGAGGTCCCTTCTTGTCCCAGTCTGTGCCTTCATGCTCCAGAGCAGAGAGCACAGCAGTGCCCTGCTGCTATCAGACCTGCTGGCCTCGGTCTTTTCTCAGGTTTGGTCGCAGGCGCGTGATTGTCAAGAAGGGGCAGAGGGGCAACAGCTTTTATTTCATCTACCTGGGCACCGTCGCAGTGACTGAGGATGATGATGGCAGCAGCGCCTTCCTGGACACCCACCCCATATTGTTGCATAAGGGCGACTGTTTTGGGGTAAGCGCAGGGCAAGGTCTGCTTTGCTGGGGGCAGGCGTGGGGGCTCGACAGGGCTCCAGCTAGAACACCCAGGCCCAGTCCTGCCTTCTCCTATGGGTAAGTCACTGCCCTGTTGTGGCTCCCAGCACCCTTTCCTGTCACAGGCCAATTGACTGGACCAGCTGGTGTCCAAGGCTGGCTCCTTGGTCTGTGATGTTTAAGGAATGTGTTCCCTGTATAACCCCCGCAGAGATGCAGTGACGCCTCATTGAGGCCCCTCCGGCTTCCTCTCTCTGGTCTGGTCAAGCCTGTTGCTTGTTTTTTCCACAGGCAGCATATTAAGAGGAAGGGATGGGCCGCCAGAGATGGGGAATAAGCAGGAGCACAGGGCCAGCTGGGGAGTCTGCAGTCTGGGGAGCAGGGATTTCTGGGGGCTGATGGAAGCAGGAAAAAGTGGGCAAGGCTGCAAGCAGAAAGCCAGAAGTAGCCTCTTACTTGCCTTTGCCTGTGTCTACCCAACAGGAATTGGGCGTTCTGACTCCGTCACTAAGGAGGGCCACTGTGGTCTGTATGGAAGAAACAGAACTCCTGGTTGTCGACAGAGAAGATTTCCTTGCGAATAAGCTGGACCAAGAATTCCAAAAGGACGCTCAGCATCGATTTGAATTTTTTAGGTGCCTCCATCATCAGCCAACATCTTCCCCCTGTGTGTTTATTAGGTGCCCAACTGTCGTAGGCCCAGTAGGAAACAGTAGGTCCTGCTCTCTGCCTGGAATGCTCTTGAGATGGGAGACACCTCCCACCTGACTTCTCCGTCTAGCAAACTCCTACTAGACCCTCAGGTCTCAGCTCAAACATCCCTTCCTTGTGGGATGGTACTAATAGAATAGCTAATATGTACTCAGCCCTTTGTACCAGGGCTCTTAACTTCTCTCATTCAATCCCATGACATTGTTTCTCTTGCTCTGTCTAGTTGACAGGTAAGGAAACCAAACCTCGGGGTGGTGATGTACCCAGAATGTTAAATTCAGAAGTCTCTGGGCTTCACCGCCCCACCTCACTAACCAACCCCATCACTCCAGAATAGAGAGAGTGCCCCCCCAGTGCTTCTATCACACCCCATGTTTCTTTAAAGTCCCAGCCAAACTGTGATTCATGATTACATAGTACCTCCTTTACAGTTTATTTGTCCATCAGGCAGGAAGCACTTATGGTTGTGAGGGCAGAGTGGCCCTTTCGTCATGGTAATCCCCACATTGTCATTGTGCCAGGCACATGCAGGGGCGCATTGTATCCTTTCGAGTTACTCACCTTTAGGAAAAGAATGGAAATCAGATGAAGTATCTGTACCGGCCCTGAAAATAAAGGTTGTAGGGTTGTGCAGCTCTAGAGCAGTGTGGTGGCAGAGGGCTACCCTGTAGGGTAGCGTGGGGGAGTGGCGAGAGTAGGAACTGTAAGAGGGGACTGGGGCCTGCAAAGGGCGGACTTAGTCCTGCAGGGGAGCACTTCCTGTTTTCACACAGTGGAAAATTGGGGCTGAGCTGCAATCTCAGCTCTTGGGCTTATCAACTGTGTGACCCTAAATGGGTCACCTCCCTTCTCTGAGTTGAGTCTCCTGCTCTGTAAAATGGGGATAATGATTCATCTCTCCCAAATCATTATAAGGATTGAATGAGATGATCCCAGGAAGCGTGTGGCCCAGTGGTGTTGCCTCTGTGGCGACCCTGCTTTCCCTTCCTGTGTCTCCAGACCCTCATCCTTTGGACATGGCACCGACCTTGTTCCCCCTTAGTGCCCTGGACGGAGCTCAGTGCCCTGAGTCACCAGAGTTCTGGGCTCCGTGATCTATGGGAGCTGAAAAAATATGAGACGATTGTTAGCAGCCCTGTGGGGCTGCATGTGAGGGAAGGCAAGCTACTGAGTGGTGGCGCCTGAGCTCAGGGGACGGGGTGGGCACTGCAGGGTGGGCCTTCAGTCATAGGGAACAAAGGCAAAAAGAGGGGAGTCCAGATGGCCCCCATTCATCAGGCACAGGCCTGAGTCTTTGAAGCTAACAGGCTGGAGGAGGCTGGAGTGAGCTGCCCAAACCAAAGGGAGGGGCAGGAGAGCTGGGATGGGGGGCAGAAGAGCAGGTGAGTTCAAGTGAGGAACTCTCAGAGTTGCTTGGAATGAGACTAGCCTAGTGAGCACAGGGTTGAGGGAAGGAGCCAGGAAGAAGCCCCTGGAGGGCAGAGTGGAAGTGAGAGGCGCATAGCACTGGACTCAGGAGCAGTAGAGGGGTGTGCTGGAGGGGGTGCCACAGGCCAGCTGAGGCAACTGGAGGGTGAGTAAAATCCTCCACCTCAGCCATTTGCAAGAGCAAGACGACATGTTCCCTTTCTGGAAATTGCTGAGAGCTGGGCACCTTCTGTGATGGAGGGCGATGAATTCTAACAGGATTTTCCCCTCAGGAAGATGGATCTGTTTGAGTCGTTGTCTGATGAGAAGCTCTGGAAGCTCGTAACCCTGGGGAAGGTGGAGAAGTTCTCGTACGGACAGCTGATCTCAAAAGACTTTGTAGAATCATCTTCCATCATGTTTGTCAGCAAGGTGAGAGGCCCTGGATGGGGGGGTGGAAGCCGGGAAGGCATGCCTAGCATAATGTCCTGTGGCCACACAGGTGGGGCTGAGCCCTGTTCTGCAGCACTTCATTTCCTGAGCGTCCATGTTCCAGCTGTAAAAGGCATACCACACAGTTTGGCCTCCCTCCCTCAGAGGGTTGCCGTGAACTGTGAGACACACTGTTAATTAGAAAGAGGGCCACAGGGGTACCCACTCCTTGAGCTCATATACATGCTTATTTACATACAGATACATATTTAAATTATACATTTGGCCCTTGAGTCTTAATGATGCCAGATCAGTTTTTAAAATTATAATCTTTAGGGATGCCTGGGTGGCTCAGTCGGTTAGGCGTCTGCCTTTGGCTCAGGTCATGATCTCAGGGTCCTGGGATCCAGTCCCTCACTGGGCTCCCTGATCAGTGAAGAGTCTGCTTCTCCCTCTCCCCCATCCCTCCCCCTGCTTGTGCTCTCTCTCCCTCAAATAAATAAATAAAATCTTAAAAAAAATAAAATTACAATCTTTAAATTATAGACATGATATGACCACTTTATAAAACATAGTTCTGGAAAGAGGGAAGAAATCACCCATGAACTTATCGCCTCAGAATAGATTTTCAGAAGTGGAATTAATTGCTTGGGTGCCTGGGTAGCTCAGTTGGTTAAGCGTCTGCCTTTAGCTCAGGTCATGATCTCAGGGTCCTGGGATGGAGTCCTGCATCGGGCTCCCTGCTCAGCTTCTCCCTCTGCCCCTCCCCCTGCTTGTGCTCATGCTCTGTCTCTCAAAAATGAATAAAAAACAAAAGCGGAATTGCTTGGTATCATCATGTTTATGGATTTTGGAACAAGTTGCTGTCCAGAAGGATCCACTTTATCTAGCTTCCAGCAGTGTGCACATTTGCCAGCGCCACACACCTCTGCCAGGTTTGCCTGTCATTCCCTCAAAATTTACCTAATTTCATAGATGGCAACTGCTACCTCATTGAGGATTTAATTTACATTTTTCCTCATTACCGGTGAGATTCATCATGTTTGTTTACTACCCAAATTTCATCTTTTGTGAATTGTTTTATGTCCTGTGCCAACTTCTCTGTTGGTTGATAATGAAAAGGGAGTCTGACATTTATTGAGCACTTAACCATGTCCCAGGTTGTGTGCTCCATGTGCTTTGTGTCATTTCGGCCTCACAGAAGCCCAGCTCAGGCCGGTACTGCCATTATTCCCATTTGACAGAGGTGAAAACTGAGGCACTAGGTTAAGCAGCTTGTCCAAGGTCACACAGTTGATGAGGGGCAGAAGCCGGGTTCAGCTCAGGACTGTCTGACTCCAAAGCTCTTCTCAGGGGCTGGGATTTGCCATTTGAGTCGACCCTTCTGTCTGTTGTGGACTCTGCTCAACCCCAATGTAGTTTTCATGATCATCGTGAGAACCGCCATGTTTTTGAGACCCTTTGCCCCTGTTCCAGGGGTTCTACTAGTGTTGTTAATTGTTTTGGTTTATTTGCACATGGTTCGAATTTTAAAAGGTTCAAAAGAGAAATGTCTCCCTCTCACTTCTTCCCCCTGCCACCCAGTGTTCCTCCTTGGGGACAGTCACTGTCACCACTTTCTTCTGTGTCTGTCCTGCATCTGTTCTTTGTATATAAAGGCAAATGTGTTTGTATGTTTTTTCCTTGTTTTTATAAATGGTGTCATGCTACGCAGGCTGTTCTGCACTTTGCTGTTTCAAGAGTATTTCCATAGATTGTTCTGTATCAGTCCATAAAGAACCCACTCTATTTTTTTTTTCTTTTACCACTTGTGCTGTGTTTTACTATATGATTATACTGGAATTTATCTAACCAGTTCCTATTGATGGATTGGTCGCCCCCATCTTTTGCTATTTCAAGCAGTGCTTTGGTGAACTGTGTACATAGTACAATTTCACCATAAATCTTTGCTATAGCTCTATCAGGAAGATATTATTATTCCACATTTACAGATGAGGAAGTTGAAGTTAAGACACCTTAGGAAAGGCCACCCATCTAGTAAGTGGCAAAGCCAGGATTCTGTCTCCAAACTTTTAGTATCTCCCATGTAGCTGTTGCTCCTATTAAGCCACCAGACATTTGTTTATTTTTTGCCAAGTTTGGTTCATGCTCTGGAGGGATCTGAGAATGGCAAAGACTGCTTCTCTCTCCTTATATCTCTCTTCCACTAGATTCTGAGCAGAGACAAAGTCATCCAGGCTAGCTACCAAGTGATTAGTGCAAACTCTTTAAGTTTACAAGGATTTAGGAGGGAGACCTCTCCAAAGGCTGGGGGCTTTAAGGAAGGCTTCCTGGAGAAGGTGAGGGGTTGAGCCTTGAAGTGTTGGACCATTAGACAAAAGGAAGGCCAAGATTGGTTATATGCTGGAGTTGGTTCTTACTGGCCTATGAGAGCTGATTAAGTTTTCGGGAATTTTGCAAGACAATAAACACAGTAATTACTAAAAATTAAATTATATAAACCTATAATTAAATATATGGAAAACAAGGATAGCAAATAATGAAAATTCATCATTTCCTCATGACGTTACTGCATTTTACTATTATCTGTGCTCTGGAGTTTATTTATGTCTGTTTTATCTATCTGGTGGAAGTACTGTACAATTGTGCACGTCTCTTCCCACCTCCACAGGCAATGACTTCACATTGGTAGCTGAAAATTGGCCCCAGCAGGACAGTGGAAACCAGCAGACACTCTGAGTCAGGTTTTGATATATGGCTTTGCTGATTGTCTTAAGAAAGCTATAGAGAAAATGTTTATAATGCAGATTAAATTTAAAAAGTGGGCTGGGTCAGTAGCCATCACATTGTAAAGAGAAGAAAATTACAGAAATGTTTTTCCAGTATTTAAACAGTATTCATCATAGATTCATCATAGGAGTTACATCACTGATAAACATGCCAAGTTCCAATATACATAGTGCTAAAGCTAGAGGGGGTTTCGGTTAATGAATATAGTTTATACAAAGGTGAGAAGTAGTTTGCCAGTAGATTACAAACCAGACTTAATAATATTAAATTTATTGGGAAAAGAGTGGTTTGGATGCAACTTCATTTCTCCAATCATGGTTGAATTGTGACTATAGATTGGCCATGGTTATAAGAACTCAGCCAGAGTCCGCAACAGCATTCTGTGAGAATCACTTGTCTCTGTGGAACTTTGAGTAAGAGTATAGTTTGTTTTGTTTGTTGTGCAGCACACCCTTTGTAGGAGTAAGATTTATAGATGTGTATTCCTTTTCCCAGAGAGCCAATTATTAAACTTAACAGGTGGGTGTTTGTGCTGTTATCTTGGGTTCGGTCCCAGAGAAGGGAGTCAAGACTAGCTAGCTGTAAGCAGAAAGGGAGTTATTGGAGGAGGCTGAATGGCTAACAGACTTACAGGTGATGGAGAGGCCTGAAGGAATAGACCTTAGGCTGAAGATGATTCCCAAATGATTCCAAATCCAAGTCCAGACTGGACAGTCACGGGTGCTCCTGATCCTGCCAAGTTCAGGAAGCCACGTCTCTAGCCACTGCTTCCACGAGCACACTGGAGGTCCTGCCATCCAAAACCTGACCTTGCCCAAGTGCATCCGGGCAAGGGAACCCAAATCACCTCCTTAGCTGCCAAGCAGTTTGGGAGATGTTTGGGAATATCTGGCTTCCAGCCTCTACCCTCTAAGGGACTGGATGCACAGGATCTGAGCCCGAGGATGGTGCAGATGAGGATGAGGCCCTTGGCAGCCACCGGGAATAGTGTGGCAAGTTTGGAGAATCCTGATGGCCACGTGAGGAGAGCGGGGAGAGCCTCGCCTATACTATATAGCCAGGGAAGACTGGGGGCAGGGGTGGTGAGGGATCAAAATTCAAGACTTGCTTTAATCAGCAGGATTACATCTTGACCAGCAGAAAGTTCTCAGTCTGTTTTAGCCTCCACTTCTTTGTCGGCGAAGTGGGACTACTTACCTCATAAAGTCTGTAAGGATGAGTCTAGCACAGACTTACTCAGTTCATATTCATCCTCGAATTCAGTGGTTCTGAGTGTTGTTGCTGGATCAGCAGCATCAATCCGTTTCAGCTGGGAACTCACTAAAAGTACAGATTCTCAGGCCTACGCAAGAGCTGTTCAACATCCAAAACTGTTTTGATAAGCCTTCCAGGTGATTCTGATGTGTACGAAAATTGGAGAACTCTGATTTAAAGGAAGAGTTTTTCAGATGTGAGTAAGCATAAAGAACACTTAGGGGGCTTCTTAAAAAGGCAAATTTCTGTCTCACCCCAGAGTCTCGTTCATTAACTCCGGCAATCTGCATTTGAATAAGCACAGCTGGTGAATCTAAGGCAGGCGCCCTTGAAGTTCTTTCTGAGAAAAATAATACAATGTCACAAAGTGACAGCAGGTGTGTGTGTGGAGGGGGCATTCTGGCTAGTAGGTGAGTTGGATTTGTCCTTTACAGTGTTTTATTGAAAACTGATTTAATCGTTATTGTGAAGATTGTAAATAAAATTTTGGATTTCTGGCTTCTTTTGAATATTCAGAGGATCAGGCAACACCAGGCTGTATTGTGATGCAGCTCCCTCTGGCTGGAGTTGAAGAGCACCTGCCCCTTTTAAAGGGACTGCTTTTTTCTCCCATTTTTATTTCCCACCAGGCTGGCTATTGGGAGTATTTATCTAAGGAGACTGGGTCTTTGGGCGCCGGGGTGGCTCAGCTGGTTAAGCATCTGCCTTCAGTTCAGGTCATGATGCCGGGGTTCTGGGATCGAGTCCCACATCGGGCTCCGCCCGCTCTGCGGGGATCCTGCTTCTCCCTCTCCCTCTGCTGCTCCTCCCGCTCGTGCGCCCTCTCTCAGTCAAATAAATAAATAAAATCTTAAAATAAAAAAAAAAGAGCCTGGGTCATCCGGCTCCTGTAGTTCACGGATGTGGCCACTAGAAGGCGATATCAGCAGCGAGTGGCTTGGGTGTCCTGCGTGTCCTGGGGACCCGGGAAAGTTAGGGAAGGCAATTTCCTGGTGGCATAGAAAACATAGTTAATACCCACAATCAACTCATTTCGAACAATTTATCATTTAGGGGCCCATGGTGAAATTGTTTTCTACAGAGATGCAGATGGGATTAAAGACCCACGAGAGATTTTCTGAGAGGAAAATGTTCACCTGTGTTCCTCTGGCACCAGGTTCCTTGTTGATAAATGTTGCATGAATGTTGACTAACCCTCCAAGCCCAACACCTGGCATAGAATAAGGGCTTATTAAATGTTTGATCCCTTCTCCTTCCTCTTCAACAGTAAATGGTCTTGAACCTTAACTATAACATGTCTCTTATAGTTCCTACTAAAAAAGGGTAAGATTTTATAAAGATACAAAATAAATAAGAAAAAGTGGCATATCTTTCTTTCCTATCAGATTAGGAAAGATTAAAAGAATTGTGAAAGCTCGGTTTTCAATGTAACACAAAGATATAACAGGCTCTGTTATGCACTGCTGGAGAGAGCGTAAGCTAACATTTCTGGAAGGCAGCTGGGCAATGTGTATTGAAATTGAAAACATACATACCTGTAGCAAACAATCCCAAGGGGATAGTCAAACATGGGTATTATATTAGGATAAACTAGGTTAAATACTGCAATTATAGGGGTGCCTGGGTGGCCCAGTCGTTAAGCATCTGCCTTCGGCTCAGGTCATGATCCCAGGGTCCTAGGATCGAGCCCCGCGTGGGGCTCCCTGCTCGGCGGGAAGCCTGCTTCTCCCTCTCCCGCTCCCCCTGCTTGTGTTCCCTCTCTCGCTGTGTCTCTGTCAGATAAATAAATAAAATCTTTAAAAAAATACTGCAATTATAAGCAATCCTCAAATCTCAGTGGATTAACTAACAAAGATGCATTCCTTCGTGCCACTACTTGATCACAGCAGATCAGCAGGAGGCCTTGCTTTTCATGGTCCCTCAGGGGACCCAGGCCACTGGAAACTATCATCACCTATGCTTCCATGGTCAATATGACAGGGGAAGGGAACGTTGAGAATCAAACACTGGCTTTTAAAGTTCCCACTCAGATGATCAGAAGTCACTTTGCTAAGGAAAGTGGCCAAAGCAAGTAAGAAGGCCACATCTGATTCAAAGGGAAAATACAATCCTGCCTTATGCTTGGGCGGGGGGAGAACTTGAGTATTTGTGAACTGCCTTAATGACCACTCTAGGCATTAAGACGTGTGACAAGATTATCACTTAAAGTTGCTGTCATAGAAACCCAACTGCAGTGGCTCAGTGAATAGTAATTTTTGTCTTGCAGTAGAGAGCCTAGAATTAAGCAATCCAGGGCTAGAAAGCTGTTGGAGGAAGTCTTCAAGACCCCAGTCTCCTTCTAGCTTCTCCCCTCATCATCCACAGCTTATAGCTTTCATCCTAGTGGTCACAACATGACTGTTCCACCTCTGGCCATCACATCTGAGTTTCAGGCAGAGGTAAAGGGGAAGGACAACCATATTTTTCCTGGGGGTTTTATCCATCAGTCTTCCAGTTATATGTCATGAGCTGGAAGTGGGTCACTGCCACCCCCACTGCAGGAGAGTTTGGGAAGGTGGTGAGTTTTATAAATGGGGTTTTGTTGTCTTGAACAAAATCAGAGTTATATACATATAATAATGACAAATTAGAAACAACTGAATATTAATCTTCAAAAATATTTTCTTGGGGTGTAACATGTGTGCAGTAAAGAACTCAGATCTAAAATTTACAGCTTCGTGAATTGTTACATAGGTATACACCTGTGTAAGCATCACCCAAATCAAGGTAGAGATCATTTCTAGCACCCCAGAAGGCTCCCTTGTTCCCTCTCCCAGACAAAATTCACCCCCCCAAACCAAAGGGAGCCACTCTTCTGACTTTGTTAGATTACTTTTGCCTATTCTTGCACTTCATATAAATGGAATCACACAGAATGTGCTCTGTGTCTGACTTCTTTTGATCAACTAGTTATGGCATACATAGAATAATATGCAGTCATTAAAAACAATAATGTAGAACCATGTTACTTGGCGTGAAATGATGCCGTTGATGTATTATTGAGTTTTATTTTTTCACTTTTATTTTTTAAAGATTTTATTTATCAGAGAGAGGGAGAGCATGAGCAGGGGGAGGGGGAGGAGGGAAGCAAACTCCCCGCTGAGCAAGGAGCCCAATTTGGGACTTGATCCTAGAACCCTGGGATCATGACCTGAGCTGAAGGCAGACGCTTAACTGACCGAGGCATCCAGGTGTCCTTGTATTATTGAGTTTTTTAAAAAGAGGTCACAAGAATCTGTTTTACAGAAAAGGACTCATTTATGAAAAATTGTCTATGTTATGTGTTTACAGAGAAAAGTTTGATATAATAGTCACCAAACTGCTACTCCTTGTTATTTCTGGGTGTTAGGATAAAATAGTTTTAACTTTATGTCCTTCTGTTTGGTTTGAGTATCTTTTAAACTTTTAATTTTGGAATGTTTTTAAATTTATAGAAAAGTTGCAAGAACAGTACAAAGAACTCCTGTATAACCTTGATCCAGATTCACCGATTATTGACATTTTGCCACATTTGCTCCTATATATATTTCCCTGCCTGAATCATTTGAGAGTTAAATATCATTCATTATACTCACTTACCCCTATATACTTAAGTGATTTTTTTCTAAAGTCAGAAATTAACTGCAGAATAACTATCCAAATCAGGGAATTTAACATTGATGTAACATATAATCTACAGTCCATAGTCAATTTCACCAGTTGTCCCAGTAACATTCTCCATGGTGATTTTTTTCCCCCAATGCCAACATTTATTTAGTTCTCATGCTTATTTAGCTGTTTGAGCTTGTGATGAATAGATAACATTTGTGTTAAAAAAAAACAAACAAAACCTGAAACCACTTGCATTAAGCCAAGTAAACTGGGGTAAGATGCAGTAGAGCTTAACTTCAAAGCCTGGCCTGCCCTGAGCCTCAGGGGTTAGCCTTTTTGTTTGTGTCCCTTGATGTTTCCAGGGCAGCTGTGAAGTGCTGCGTCTGATAGACCTCAGGACCTCGCCTTTCTACTACAAGTGGATCTGGCAGCATCTGGAGCTGATAGACAACAGACCTCTGAAGACCCACCTCAATGGTAACCGGCAGCCGCGCACAGTAGGGGGCGCCTGGGCCCTGTGGCTTCCAGTTCCCAGCCCATAGAATCTTAGACGTCTAGCGCTAGAAAGGCCCAGCAGGATGTCTGGTTTGATCCCCTCTTTTCGCAGCTGTGGAAACGTGGCCCACATGGCCCCACTGGCTGAGGCTCCTGCCCACCCTCCGGCTCTTCCTTTTTAGGCTTTCCCTTTGTGTCAGGTGCTCCTGGGGAGAGGGGTGGAAAGGAGCCTGGAGCTTGACAGAGCTGGGTTTGAATCTCCCTGGTTAGCTGGATGACTCACTGAGTACTTAAAGCCTCTGGGTCTGGTTTGTCACAGTAGTGTAGTGGCTAGGAGCACAGGCCCCGGAGCCAAACTGCTTGTGTTTTGAATCCAGGGTCCCTCTCTTACTAGCTGTGTGATACTGGGCAAGTGACCGTGTCCCCGTGCCATCAGTTCCCTCAGATAGTCCCTACCTCATGGACTTGTTATGAAATGAAGCAAATGAATATATAAAGCTCAGAACCCTAACTGGATGCATCAGTCTATGGTAGATGTTTGTTATCTTTATCCCACAGGTTACAAGGGGGGCTGCATCAGCTTGTGTGTGTACAGGCCTATACTCAGGTGCACAGGAAATATCCCTTCTCTTCTCATGTCAATTCTTTTTTCTCTCTTTTCCGCTGCCAAGCCACCAAAGAAAAAGCTGCATCCTGTATTTTTTACCCAATTTTTTTTCATTGTGGCAAAATACACATAGCATAAAATTTACTATCTTAACCATTTTTATACCCACAGTTCAGTGGTATTAAATATATTCATAATATTGGACAGCCATCAACACCATCCATTTCCTAATCTTTTTTTTCATTTTGTAAAATGGAAACTGTATCCCTATTCAACAGTAACTAGCCATTTCCTCCTCCCCCTAGCCTCTGGCAACCACCACGCCACTGTCTATCTTTATGATTTTGACTACTCTACGTCATATTATTGGAAGCATACAGTATTTGTCTTTTTGGGATTGGCTTATTTCACTTTGCATAATGTCCTCAAGGTTCATCATATTGTAGCGTGTGTCAGAATTTCCTTCCTTTTGAAGCCTGAATAATATTCCATTGTATGTACATATCACATTTTGTTCATTCATCCATCGATGGACTCTTGAGAACTTCCACATTTTAGCTATAGTGACTACTATGGGCATGGGTGTATAGTTATCTCTTTGAGACCCAGTTTTCTTTGGAATACATACCCAGAAGTGGGTATATATTACTGGATCATATGGTAATTATATTTTTAATTTTTTTAGGGAATTGCCATACCATTTTCCATAGGGTCTGTACCATTTTACATTCCCACCAACAGTGCACAAATGTTCCAATCTTTCCACATCCTCACCAGTGCTTGTTATATTCTATTTGGTTTTTAAACATGATATTCATCCTAATGGATAGGAGGTGGCATCTTATTGTAGTTTTGATTTGTATTTCCCTATGATTAGTGATGTTCTGGGCTCCCCCTGTGTTCCCTCTCCCTGCAACATGGCTCAGAAAACCTCCAGGCAGTAAGCTGGGGCAATAGTAGGGCTTACCCCATTTGTTTTCTATCTTGCGGGGATGATTGTTCTTCATGGCCTGATGCCCAGTGCCTCATACATTTATCTCAGTTTTTTTAGTAGTTTTAGGTGGGAGGGTAAGTCTAGTCCCTGTTAGTCCATTTGGCTGGAAGCAGAAGTATAGATCTATGTTTCTTTTTCTTTCTTTTTTTAGATCTGTGTTTCTTAGTAGCTGAGTTTTATCCTACTCTATGTATATACCATAATTAGCTCTAAAGCAATGACCTTTTGCAGATATTTTGGGTTATTTCCAATTTTTCACTATTACCCTGCTGTGGTAAATTTCATGATGTATTTATCTTTGTATACTTGTACAAGGAAACATTGGATAAATTCTTAGAATTACTGAATCAAGTAATCAATCCAGTGCATACTGGTCATGCACATTTAAAATAATGGTAGATATTGACCAAAAAGTCTTCCAAAAATGTTCACCTGGGGCTTTTTATATGTGCTGTGTTAATTTAGGCTTACTCTTTATAGATTTTGGATTTGGATTAACATTAATTTTAATAGTTGATTCTAACACTGGAGATCTATTTTTAAAAAAGATTTATTTATTTATGAGAGACAGAGAGAGAACATGCACCCACAGAGGGGAGGGGCCAAGGGAGAGGGAGAGACAGTCTTAAGCAGATTCCGTGCTGAGCGCGGAATCCGATGTGTGGCTTGATCCCAGGACCTTGAGATCATGACCTGAGCTGAAATCAAGAGTCAGGGGCTTAACTGAGCCACCCAGGTGCCCCTTAATCTGTAATTCTTATAATAATCCTATGAGGGCTCCAGGAAATTACCTCGTCCAAGGTTCTATGGCTCATCACTCCTTTATCTCTTACTGCTGCCTCCGTCCCCAATCCCAGATGAATATCATCTGTTAGTGGAAAGTCATGAGCTTTAAATCAGGTAGACTTGAGTTAAATCCAAGCTTCAGCCCTTTCCTGGGTGACTTAAACTCTGCTGCTCATTTGATTTCTTAAATGGAGCCAGTGACACTTATGTGGATGTAACATATGTGAAGGCTCTGCTCCAGAGCAGAGGGACAATACATGGAAAACACAGTGTTTTCTATTTTCCTTTATTTCCCCATAGGTCAGACTGGCCAGGCAGGTGAGTAGGGTATACCTTTCATCATCAGCACAGACCTCAAAAGACCCATTAATGTGTTTTTCTGTGCTTTCTCTAACAGAACCTTCTCCTGTGGAGAGATTTAAGGAATTTCAGATCAAATCATATCCTGTACAGGACTTTAGCTTTCTGAAACTTAAGCACCTCCAGAACTCCTGGGAGCCAAAGGGGACCAGCTTCAGTAGGAGGATTAACACCTCAGGGAATACTCTTCCAAAAATGTTGGGCCCGAAGATCAAGTAAGCTTAGCTCTTGGCAGATAGAAGGGTTCAGATTCTGGTTGAAAAGGGCGATATAACTTGAAAGGACAGAATGTCAGGGATACTGGGGGGGGCAGAGGTAGCAGGCACAGCTCGACCCCAAAGGTTGGGGTATAGGCGAGGGCAAACTCGAGAAGTCCTAGATCTGAGACCCAGGAGCAGCATTCTCTGCCTGTAATCCACAGAGCCATTTTAGCTCGTCAGCTACTTCCTTTCTCAGGGAATCCATTTGAAGAAGGAGGGGCAGATCTTCTGGCTCTGATACTCTGTCACTGGATCTTTTTGACTCTGAGCCTCTTCAGAAAATTCTACCCATCTAAAGGAGGCAGGAGATAAGAGCCTGGGCTTTGGAGTCAGTTCAACCCAGGTTCAAGTCCTGGCTTGGTCACTTATTTTAGCTCTGTGTCCTTGCACCAGGGACTTGACCTCTCTAAGCCGTAGTTCCCTTGTCTGTAGATAATAGGAGTTAAGTCTTGGTGTTGTCGTAAGCCAGCAATTAAATGAGATAATGGTAGTTATAGCTAACACTTGTGGAATACTCTATTCCTGGTCCTGGATTATCTCATTTAATCCTCACAGGAGTTCTATGAGGTAAGTACTGTTATCAGTCCCATTTTCAAGTGAGAAAACCAAGCTACAGAGAGAGATTAAGTTCCTTGTTTGAGGTCATACAGGTGGGAAGCGGCAAAGCCAGGATTCACACCTAAGCAGCTTATTAATGCTCAGTCTTTTTATTTGGTATGACTGTCACAGCTGGAATGAGAATGCACATTGAGGGCTGCGCTTTTGCCTCAACCCAGAGAGGCTGAGGAGCAGGAAGGGACACTCAACTGTACCTGCCTAAAGGCAGCTCAGGGCTGGACCCAGAGCAACATAACACCTCTTCCCCCCTCCCATTAAGTGTAAAACTAAAATATCACAATGAGGACCGCCTGGGTGGCTCAGTTGTTTAAGTGTCCACCTTTGGCTCAGGTCATGATCCTGGAGTCCTGGGATCGAGCCCCATATTGGGCTTCCTGCTCAGCGGGGAGTCTGCTCTCCCTCTGCCCCTCACCCAGCTCATGCTCTCTTTCTCTCTTAAATAAATAAATAAATAAATAAATAAATAAATAAATAAATATCACAATGATACTAATAATAACATCAGTGTCACAATCTCCATGTTGCCCGAAGTACCACTGCACTCAAGTCCTTTGCCTATTAACATTTCTAGCCTGCTGGCCTCCATAAGGAGCATCCCATGACTTCTGAGTTGTTATTCCCTCTGATGGGTATTCTTTCCAAGGGATCCAGTGCTTGAAGTCCAGTCCCAGTTCTTCTGAAGGTAGGGATGGAATAGACCCAGGTTCTCTGCTGTAAGGAAGAAGAGACAGGTTGGACCCAGAAATGAAAGATAAAGACCATGCTGGGCATGTCCTGGGGGGTGAGAATTGTAGGCTGCCTTGTTTATGTGTTGGGTGAGTTTATGAGTTGGGTGAATATATCAGCTATATTCTCAGCTAATAAATAATTTTTTCCCTGCCTCTAATCCAGATAGCATAGCCTGTCTCTTCCTTCTACCTCTCCTGAGACCAAAGAAAGCACAAGATCACCTGTGTAAAATTAATTCCAACATGAACAAAGTACAGAATCTACAGGCTGCCCAAGGAAACCTGTCTTTTAAACAAATAAACAAACAAAGCCATTTCTTCTTTGCTTTTCTGCCAAGGAGAGCCCCAACCTCTGCTGTGTCCCCAGGGGCACAGAGCTTACTCTAGCTCAAAGCAGTCTGTTCCATTATCGGACAGCTCTGACTTAGAGGTTGAGCATCTCTTAGCCAGCCTGGACTTCTCATCCATCCGGTCTGGCTCAGCTGCATGAGATCATCAGCCCCTTCTTCCACATAACAGCCTTCAAGTGTTTAAAGGGGGGGTCCTATCTCTTTCTCTGCTAGCCTCCCTGCTATTAAACTTCTCCAGTTCCTGACATGATCTCTTCCAGAGCTTGATTTGAGTTTTCTCACTTTCTGGGGGCAGTGTAAGTTCTCCAGGGAGGTGAGGTCTCACTGTACAGCAGAGTGGGGGCTAACTGTTCAGGGCCTCAGGAACTGGCTATGTGACAGATGAGTTCTCTTTAACAAGCTGTCAAATTTCAGATCCAGGAATCCTCATTCACTTGAATGTTCCATGATCAGTACCAAGTATGGTGATCTCCCTGAAGAGGCTGCTGTGGGCGCCTACATCAAGATCCACACTGTGGAGGAAGGAGAAACTGTGGTGAGTGTGCAGAGAGCCTTGTTCATGATAGTGTGTGTAACATGGCAGGCCGGGAGTGTTAAGTAATAACAGGAAAGGTTTAAAAACATCCCACTCTATATATGGTAATATTAAGGAATATTGTTGATTTTTAAAGATATGATAACAGTACCATGGTTATATTTTTTTAAGAGTCCTTATATTTAGGAGATACATATCAAAATACAGATAAAATGATATGACATCTGGGACTTGCTTTAAAATAATCCAGGAACAAGGCAAGGATGTACCCTCTCACTACTCTTATTCAACATTGTACTAGAAGACCTCGCTAGTGCCTTAAGACAAGAAAAGGAAATAAAACATTTGGGAAGAAAGAAATAAAGCTGTCTTGTTTGCAGTTGTTTGATTGTCTATGTAGACAACTTCAAAGAATCAAAAAACAAAACAAAACAAAACCCTCCTGAAGTGAATAAATTATTATAGCAAGATCACAGGGTATAAGGCAATGAACATTGGAATTTGAAATAAAAACACAATACCATTTACAATAGCACCAAAAATGAAATGCTTAGGTATAAATCTAACAAAGTATGTTCAGGATCCACATGCAGAAAACTGTTAATTATAATGAAAGAATTCATGGGGCCTCTGGGTGGCTCAGTCAGTTAAGCACCTGCCTTCCACTCAGGTCATGGTCTCAGGGTCTTGGGATCAAGCCCCACATCAGGCTCCCTGCTCAGCGGGGAGTCTGCTTCTCCCTCTCCCTCTGCCCCTCCCCCATGCTTGCATGCGGGCTCTCTCTCTCAAAGAAATAAATAAATCTAAATAATTAAATAAATAATTTATTAAATTAAATTAAATAAGTATAATAAATAAAATAAATCTTTATTTTATTTAAATAAAAATAAATAAATAAAATCTTTTTTTTAAGATTTTATTTATTTGAGAGAGAGAATGAGATAGAGCATGAGAAGGGGGAGGGTCAGAGGGAGAAGCAGACTCCCTGCTGAGCAGGGAGCCCGATGCAGGACTCGATCCCGGGACTCCAGGATCATGACCTGAGCTGAAGGCAGTAACTTAACCAACTGAGCCACCCAGGCGCCCTAAAATAAAATCTTTTAAAAACTTATAATAAAAGAATTCAAAGAAGATTTAAATAAATGGAGAAATATTCTATGTTCATGGATTGGAAGTTTCTATTGTTAACGTGTTAGTTCTTTCCAACTTGATGTATAGATTCAACACAATCCCAGCCAAAATCCCAGAAAGTTATTTTGTGGATATTGACAAAGTGATTCTAAAAATTTACATGGAAAAGCGAATATAAACTAACTGGTAAATCCAAACAATGAACAATTCATCAATAAGAAGAAATGAACTCTCAAGCTAAGAAATTACATGGAGGAAACGTAAATGAATATTCTAAGTGAAAGAAGCCAATATGAAAAGATTAAGTATTGTATATTCCAATTATATGACATTCTGGAAAAGGCATAACTATAGAGATAGTGATCAGTGGTCACCAGAGGTTTGGAGTTCAGGAGGAGGGATAAATAGGTAAAGCACAGAGGATTTTTAGGAGAGTAAAATTATTCTGTATGATACTGTAATGGAAGAGACAAACCCTTAAGCATTTGACAAGACTCAGAACTTTATTTTTTTAATTTTTTTAGATTTTATTTATTTATTTGAGACAGAGGGAATGAGAGAGAGAGAAAGCACATGATGGGGGGAGGGTCAGAGAGAGAAGCAGACGGAGCAGGGAGCCTGATGCGGGACTCGATCCCAGAACTCCAGGATCATGACCTGAGCCGAAGGCAGTTGCTTAACCAACTGAGCCACCCAGGTGCCCTCACAGAACGTCATAGCACAAAGAATGAACCTTAATGTATGCAATTTGTAAAAAAAAAAAAAAGTAATTTAGGAGGCAGGGGATCCCAGGAGGGAATGCAGACTATGACAAGAGCATCTAATGATACTACAAATATATGAAACGATCTCAGTGAAGAGGGTGGGAGACCCTCTAACGCTGGAGGCAGCTGGGGTCCCTGAGACTGAAAGCAGAAGGAACTGCACATGAGCACTGTACTCTAGCTGATAACATCGTTACCCATGGGCGTATGCTCGACAGTTCTGATACTGCAATACACGTGTACTGAAATGGATCAATTCAGTTATTGAATGGCAGATGACGGCAGCCAGGTTTCTCATCATTGGAGTAGAAATTTGCAGATAAGCAAGGAGGAGGCTAGAATGATCCATGTGGTAATGGATTCGTTGAAGACATCTGTATGAACTCCTTTTTAGCTTGATATAAATACAGATGGTTACACATGGAGATATTTAGAGATATGTGTCTCAACATATATCTTTTGCTCTGTCAACTGACAGGGTCTAAAAGAAAAGACACTCCAGTAGCAATGAGCAAACCTAGCACCTGGATCTTGGTTTCTTATTTTAAAATTTTTATTTATTTATTTATTTATTTGACACAGAGAGAGAGAGAGAGAGAGAGCACAAGCAGGATGAGAGGGAGAGGGAGAAGCAGACTCTACTGAGCAGGGAGCCCGATGCGGGGCTCAATCCCAGGACGCTGGGATCACGACCTGAGCTGAAGGCAGATGGTTAACCAACTGAGCCACCCGGGCTCCTCTGGATCTTGATTTCTAATACCATTCTTCAATAAGAGAAACAAGGGCTTCTTGAAAAATGATTGATTCTAGGTCTAGGGCAGGGAATAGACAAGATGAGCCTGGAGCATTTTGTAGTGCCGTGGAGTAAGGAAGTATTGGGGGAAAAAACCCTACATTGATGGAGGCAGGCATATCAAAGGGACACAGGTGCCAACTGAAAGAGCTCCCAGTAGCTAAAGCTAGAACAATTTGAACAATTTGAGCAACAAAATAAAATAGTATTCGATTATAACTGAAAGTATATAGTAAACATCTCTGAGAACATACTGTATAATGAATAAATAATGAACAAATTAATAAATAGGGGAGAAGAGACAAATCTCCCATGCAGAAGAATTCCAGATAATTTACATACATCCTAAAGGAGAGGATATATAAACCCCGCTCCTTAGGTGCGGGCTGTACATAGTGACTTCCTTCTAAAGAGTACAGTACGGAAAGGGGGGGAAAGAGTAACTTTACGGTGGAGGAACCTGAGAAACCCCACTGTAGCCAGGTGATCAAGGCCAACAGCTGCAGTTAAAGTGTGTTGATAGTATGTCTCTTAATATGATGAAATGGGGTATGATGTGATGAGAATGACACTTTACCTCCGTGGTTCTCTTCCCAATAATCCATAACCCCAGTCTAATCATGGGACCAAATCACTGGGTGTCATTCAAAATTCCTGATCAGTACTCCTAAATAGCTATCAGGGTCATCATAAACAAGGTCAGTCTGAGAAACTGCCCAGCCAAGAGGAGTCTAAGGAGATAAGAGAATAAATGAATATGTGTTTTGGATAGGATCATGGAACAGGAAAAGGACGTTAGGCTAAAAGAGGAAATCTAAATAACTCCTTGACCTGAGTTAACAATAATAATAATATATTGATATTGGTTCTTTAATCATAGCAAAAGTATCCTACTAATGTAAGATGCTAATAACAGAGGAAACTGTATGGGATTATATGGGAACTCTGTACTATCTTCTCAGTTTTTCTAAGTTTAAAATTGTTTTAAAAAATAAAGTCTATTAAAAACATAATTATCTGGGGTGCCTGATGGTTCAGTTGGTTAAATGCCCAACTCTTAATCTCAGCTCAGGTCTTGATCTCAGGGTCATGAATTCAAGCCCCATGTTGGGCTCCATGCTGGGCATGGAGCCTACTTAAAAAAAAAAAAGTTATCCAATAGTTGGAGGGGTGGGGAATGCATGAATGAAACAAGTTTGGCCATGAGTTCATCATTGTGGGAGCTGGGCAGCAGGTGGGCCTCCACCTTCCCTGGGGAGGGGCTGTCTTCGGAAGCCCCATGTGTGGTCATCATCTAGTATGTGGTCGTCATAGTCCAGAGAGGTGCTCCCTCACCGTGCCCTCACCACTGTTCCTCAGTTACAGCATCTCCAGGGTCCCCCTCACATGCCTGTCACCCCCCGCTGTGGTGGGCTCTTAATGCTCCTGCCCCACGGGACTGGGAGTCCAGAGGTAGGAAGGCCAGCCAGTACTGGGTGGGAGCCCCAGCCCCTGGCACAGCCCTCCCTCAAGGCTGATGGAATATTTCCAAGCTCTTAGGAAGCTCTTCCTTTTTTTCAGCAAAACTCTGCCTCCTGTAACGTTTAATTAGCTCCTCCCCCAACCTCCCCCCACCACCCCAAGAACAAAACAGAAGAAATCAGCTTCCTAGCCACATGATGGCCCCTTAGATATTTAAAGAATGCCACTTTGTTTTTCATTCAACATTTCGGGAGCCGGGCACAGTGCCAGTGCCCCGTTAATTATTTTCTCATTTGGTCAGAACATCCTCCATTCCTTCAGGGCAGTTAGTGCTTCCAGGTAAGGCACTCAGAACTGAACACGGGGCTCCTGAGGCCAGTCCCTGGCCTGTGAATGAACCTCACACCTCCAGGCAGAGCAGCTGGGGATGCTGGGCACCCCAAGCCGAATGAGGGCACCAGAGGGCGGAACGGCGTCGTCTGGTTGGGCAGATAGTGACAGCAGTGCAGACGGGGCAATATGGCACGAGAGCAGCAGGGCCCGTGTTGTCAAGGGCCTGCCGTGCTGGAATAGGGGCCTTGGCCTTGATTCTCTAGGAAGGCCTAGAAGGCTTTGGGTGAGGGCTCGGAACAAAGACCTGCTGCCTCGTTCGTCACACAGGGCCCAGCACAGAGAAGCCCCCCCCCACAAATATGTGTTACCATGACTCTTGATGAAAATGCCTGTGGATGTCTCCCTAATGTGTCTTTGGTAAGACTCTGTTCTCCCTGACTTCATTTGTCGAAGAGTGAATGGTGACAGCTGTGCCTGTATTCATGTAGATCACATTTGCCTAACGTGGGCAGCAGGAGTGTGAAGCTGGGTCAGTCTTGGAAACACAGAGTTTGGGGCCTGGAGTAGAGCCTTTGTTTTGAGCCAGGAGGTGTAGGGGAACCAGCTTCTCCAGGGAACAGGCAGACCGAGGCCTCAGATTGGGCAAGCCGGAGCCATGGGCAGGGCAGAAGGGATATGACAGATTGGGGTCAAGGTCAGGGGGTCCTTATCTTCATTTTGCTTCTAATTAGACAGCTGTGTGGCCTTGGGCAAATCACTTGACCTCTCTGAATCTGTGTCTTCATCAGAAAATGAGGAAATTCAGCTGGGTGAGCTGCTAATTCGAATGTTCTGTTACCCCATTTGAGTATTCATTCAGCAGATAGTTCTTGAGCATGGCCCAAAATGCCAGTGTGGGCAAGTAAACTGACATTCTTCCAGCCCTCATAGGCTTATGATCTAGTCTGGGGACAGACAATAAACAGATAAATTAGCAAACACACAAAATAGTGCAAACTGCTGTTGGGAATGGAAGAGAAAGCTGGATTGTGGGGCAGGCTTCTTAAGTGGAACAATCAAGGAAGCCAGCTCCGAGGAGGTGATGTTTAAGCTGAGACCTGAATGGGGAAAAGAACAAGCTGGGGACGACCTGGGGGAAGTGTGTTGCAGACCAAGGAAGAGTAAGCTCAAAACCTGAGGCCAGAAGGAGCTTGGTGTGTCAAGGGGACTGGAAGGGAGGGTAGCATGGCTGGAACAGAGTAAACAAGGTAGGGTGACATGAGGCCAGGCTGGAGAGCCAGGCAAAGGTGAGATAGCCCAGGCCTTGGGGCCACAATGAGGAGTTTTCTTTTATCCTGCGTGCTGTGGGAAGGTATTTGAAGGGCTTAGGCAGAAAAGGGCCCTGACTAGCTGGTGTGTGTGGGATTGGTTGCAGGTGGATGAGGGTACCTGCCAACAGTGCTGCCCTCAGTGGGGCCCTGAACAGATCACTGGGTTCAAATCCTGCCTCCACCTCTTTCTGTCCTTGGGCAAGTTACTTAACCTCTTTGTGCCTCAGTTTCCTCAGAGTATAGTGGTTAAAAGCATGGACTCTGAAGACAGATCCCCTGGGCTCAAATGCTAGCTTTATTGCTTCCATGCCGTGTGATGTTGGACAAGTTTCTCAATCTCAGCAGCATCCTCTGTAAAATGAGGATAACAATAGGACCCACCTCGTGGGGGACTGTGAGGGTGTCAAATGAGTTAGTACCCACGGCAGCAGCAAGAGGGCCTGGGATGTAGCGAATGCTCAGTAAATATTGCTGTCATATCATCATCACGGTCAGGGAGCCAGAGGTGTAACGGAGCTGCCGAGAGGAGGCCAGTGAACCCCCAAGGTCTGTGAGGGACAGAGAAGGTAACTGAGGCCCAGTGAGGACATGTGAGTAGAGACCTGCAGAGAGGATGAGGGAGGGTGTGGTGGCTGCGGAAGGGAAGATTTAGAAGAGGAAGACTCGTTGGAATTCTGTCACTGCATGAGGAAGAGAAAAATGGCTTGGCACAAGAGTTGAGATTGGACATGGGGGAAAGCTTGTGAAAAGCTGTACCCTGAAGAGTGTGATTGTTGGAAAGCCTGCATGGAGGTAGGACACGGACGAAGTGCCTTCCTTACAGGCTCTTCTAATCCCAGCAGCCAGAGGCCTTTGATGTCATGTAGCAGAAAGAGCCCTGACCTTCTCCCCATCACTTGCAGAATGACCCCCAGATGGATTCACCGTCTGTCTGGGGCCTCGTTTTTCCTGTCTAGATAATCTGCTGGTATAAGTGGACAGTCTCTGAGGTCAAACTTTCCGGAACTTTCTGTTCCCCAGGGCCTTCACCAGATCCTCCTCCCGGAGAACGAGCATGACATGCGGCCCTTGATCCTCGTGAGCCTGGGAGCTGAGATGATACGGGTGAGGAAAGAAAAATTTTGTGAACTGATCGACAGTGAGGTAACAGAGAAGTTGTCCAGGTTCAAGGTCAACTACCCCAGGTCAGTGCTGGAAATGTGCACACATCCCACCAGACTGAATAAAACAAACTTTCACCTATTGTTTTAGTAAAAGAAAGAAAAAAAGTGCTAATACCTGATCCTGAGAAGGGGGGAGGGGGGAATGAAACCGGTAGTTGCTGGTATCCCTTAAATTGTCTCAGTTCTTTTGATAATAATTTTAGAATTATGTTGCAAGGGCCATATCTTTTGAAGCAAAGGTCTACCTGTGAATTTATGTAATTAAATTATGGGAATAGCTACATGCGCTGAGATGTTCATAGCAGCCATATTCATGATAGAAAAACCACTACCACCACCACCCACACGTGTCACACTAAGGACATAGTTTAGCAATTGTGGTGTGTTTCTTTGATAGAGCATAACTGTTGTATTAAAAGAATTGTAAGTTTAATGGCTCTGTAGCAATAGGGTAAAATAGGTGATATAATGATACACGAAAAGGATGCAAAATTGTATATATTCTATGGCTATGCCTTTGTAAAACACAAGAGAAAAACCTAGAAGGAAATAAGCAAAAGTGATGACATCTGTGATGTTGAAAATTTGTAAGAGTCATTCTGTCTGGAAGGTGAGACTAAAATGTACTTCCTGGTTATTGTTATGTATTCCTCTCATATTGTTTTTGCTGTGTGTGTGCATTGCTTTTATAATGATAGAAGAAAAGAAATACTTTCTTTTTTTAGTTTAAATTTTACTTAGTTAACTTACAATGCAATATTGGCTTCTGGAGTAGAATTCAGTGATTCATCATAACAAGTGTCCTCCTTTATACCCATCACCCATGGAGCCCATCCCCCACCCACCTCCCTCCATCAACCCTCAGTTTGTTCTCTACCGTTAAAGAGTTTCTTATGGTTTGTTTCCCTCTCTCCTTTTTTCCCCCCTTTGCATATGTTTGTCTGTTTTCTTTGTTAAATTCCACAGATGAGTGAGATCATATGGTATTTGTCTTTCTCTGACTGACTTATTTCACTTAGCATGATACACTCTAGTTCCATCCATGTCGCTGCAAATGGCAAAATTTCATTCCTTTTGCTGACTAATATTCCATACATATATATGCTCCACATATTCTCTATCCATTCATCAGTCAGTGGACATTTGGGCACTCTCCATAGTTTGGCAAAAAGAAATACTTTTTAAAAGCTGTTGTCAGGGTGTGCCTGGATGGCTCACTTGGTTGTGTTGACTCTTGATTTCAGCTCAGGTCATGATCTCAGGGTTGTGATACCGAGCCCTGTGTCAGGCTCCGTGCTGGGAGTGGAGTCTGCTTAAGATTCTCTCTCTCTCTCCCTCTCTTTCCCTCTGCCCCTCCCCACTGCCTCCCCCCCTAAAAAAAAGTTGTTGTCAGGATAGTGGCGTTCCTTTTTTCCTTTATTCTCCAAATGTTTGGTAATGATGATATTACTTTTATAATTAAAAAAATAAAATATCTTGAAAGATTCGATCAAAATATTTTTTTACTTTTCCCTGGTTTTCAAATTTTCCAGAGTGAATACTTCTATAATGTCAAAAAAACCAGTTTTTTAATGTAAATGTTAACTGGACCAGCGGTTGTAAAACTATTTTGATCTCACACTGTTATTACTAAGAAGTGTTTGAGTATATACCCCCTAGAATATATGTAAATATGAATAACATATGTTAATTTATTATTATTACATACATATATTGCTGTGCTAATATATACATTATGGACATATCAAAATAGATCTTTAGAAGAATAAGACAAAGATGGGGCGCCTGGGTGGCTAAGTTGGTTAAGCGACTGCCTTCGGCTCAGGTCATGATCCTGGAGTCCCGGGATCGAGTCCCACATCGGCCTCCCTGCTCAGCGGGGAGTCTGCTTCTCCCTCTGACCCTCTTCCCTCTCATGCTCTCTATCTCTCATTCTCTCTCTCTCTCAAATAAATAAATAAAATCTTTAAAAAATTTTTTAAAAAGAATAAGACAAAGATGAATATAAATGATGTCCTATATTTTTTCACACACCCCAGTGGATCTTGTTCACCTCACTAGATGACATGACCCTACACTCCCACTTTGGGACCCCCAGCCTAGACCCCTGGTCTTACCACTGGGCCCCCTGCCTCAGTCTCCTCCCCACTAGTTCCTTTCTGTTATCTGTGTCTTGCTAAAACCCAGATCTGGTCATGTTAAACTCCTGCATAAAACCTTTCAGTGTTGGGGCACCCGGGTGGCTCAGTTGGTTAAGCATCTGCCTTCGGCTCAGGTCATGATCTTAGGGTCCCGGGATGGAGCCCCACGTCCCCCCTTGCTCAGCAGGGAGTCTGCTTCTCCCTCTCCCTCTGCCCCTCCCTGCTGCTCGAGCTCACTCTCTCTCAAATAAATAAAATCTTAAAAAAAAAAAGGGATTTTAGGAGCCTTAGAACCTCAAATGATGCCTGGCACATGATGGTTATCAGTTAATGCCTGTTGAATTGAAATTCAGAAGAGGTTTCTATAGGCCTGAGGGCGGCAGATGCTTGAGCCCTCAGCATCTGTGCCTCTCGGTCAGCACTCTGCTGCAATGGTCCGCAGTGCTGACAGATAGAATTCCAGCTTATCCATTCACTGTTGAACTCATGGCTTCTAGACTGCTAAAGCAGGCAGAAAACACATCCATTATCTAGCTCAATTCCTCCATGTTTTAACTGAGGACTGTGAAGCCCAGGGAAAAGGACATGACGTCCTGAAGATCACACACTCAGTGGCAGTGACACCTGTCCTGCAAATGCTACGAGCTGGAGAAGCTGAGCTATCTCCCCCTGCAAAGCGCACCACCCAGAACGGAACCAACATCTGAGTTCCCAAGAGAGAAGGGAATTCTCCGAGGGCCAAAATGAAGGAGAGCCTAAAAGATCTAGTGTGGGATTGCCCAGTGGGTGTGGCCTGGGCCGAGGGTTAAGGCCATCATGGGCTGAAGTTTTTATAGCCTGCGGGGACAGATGAAACTTTCAGTTCACACGAGGCGGGGATTGGAAGTGAAAGCCCTGCAGCAAGCTGAGACCTTTAGAAGAGTGACCCCGATTTGTGAAAAAATTAACTAGAAATCAATATGACCATCAGCATCAGGAGGCGACATGGGATCTTGTGTGTCTGAACTTGCACTGGGTCCCCCCCCAGAAAAAGCCCCCCTAAGAATCTGTAATCACATGCTTGCCCCCTCCTAGGTTTTGGTGAGTCCTGTAGCATCTTTGAACCCCAGTGTCCGTGTTTGTGAAATGGGTAGTTGTAAGGATTAAATGGGTTAACAAGTAAAGTGCTGGGCACATGGTAAGTGCTAAGTCAGAATTAGATGTTGCTGGGTTTTTTTGGTTTGTTTGTTTTGTTTTTCTATGGAAGAAATTGGGAGTTAGTGGAATTTTCTAAGTGGAGACTATCCAGCAGTGTGCTCGTGAATGTTTAACAACCAGCTCTCTGGGAGGTTTTGCTTGTTCAGGACATTTCACATAAATGGGATCATAAAATATGTCGTCTTTTGCAACTGGCTTCTTAGCATAGTGTTTTCAAGTTTTATCCATGTTGTAGTATGTACTTCATTCCTTTTTTTTTTTTAAGATTTTATTTATTTATTTGAGAGAGAGAGAGGGAGGGAGGGAGGAAGGGAGAGAGAGCGAGAATCTTAAGCAGACTCCATGCTGAGTGAGGAGCCCAACACGGAACTTGACCTTACGACCCTGAGATCATGACCTGAGCCAAAACCAAGAGTCGATGCTCAACCAACTGAGCCACCCAGGCACCCCGACTTCATTCCTTTTTAGTGTCAAATGATATTCCATTGCATGTATATATCACATTTTATCCATTCGTCAGTGGATGGATGTTTGGGTTGTTTTCACTTATTGGCCATGATGAATAACGCTGCTATGAACATTCTTGTGCAAGGCTTTGCGTGGACATAGGTTTTCATATCTCTTGGGTATATACCTAGGAGTAAAATTGCTAGGTTGTAAGTTAACTCTGTTTAACCTTCTGAGGAACTGCCAGACTCTTATCCAAAGTGGCCGCACCAGTTTACTTCCCCATCAGCAGTGTACCAAAACCCTTGTTTTAATATCTCCACCTCATTACACATTTTTATCTGTCTTTTTAATTATAGCCATCCTAGTGGGCATAAGCGGTATCTCATTGTGGCTTCACCTTACGTTTCCTTGATAGATAAATGGTTACCTATATAATTTAACTTTTTAGTAGCCACATTATAAGAAGTAAAAAGACTGATGAATCACAGACCTGTACCCCTGAAACAAATAATACATTATATGTTAATTTAAAAAAGAAGTAAAAAGAAATGAGTGAAATTGCTTTTTAAAATATATTTTATTGAATTTAGTGTGTCTCAGATATTGTTTCAACATGTAATCAACACAAATGTTATTAATGAGAGTCTCTATATTTGTTATTGCTCTAAGTCTTTGAAATCTGGTGTGTATTTTAAACTCACAGCCCATCTCTAATTCAGACTGGCCACACCACAGGTACTCAATGGCCACATGTGGCTCGTGGCCACCACACAGAGCAGTGCAGTTCTAGGGGAAGAAGGTGTGGAAAGGCAGAGGAGGCAGAGAGAAGAGTCTGGGCGGAGGTACCCAGCTGGGACAGAGCACACTGTGCTGAGGAATTGGAAGAGTGGCAGGAGGCAAGGCTGGAGGGGCAGGGGCACAGGAGGGGCTAGTGTGGGAAACTCAGTGTCTACGCCTCGCCTTTAGTGATGAAGATCTGTGCCGGAAGTTCCTTCAGCAGAGCAGCTGGGATAGCTTTCGGAAGGACCTACTGCGGCTGCTGGTGAAGCCTCGTCAGCGTCCACCGTTCACCCCGATCCGGCCCAAGAAGAAGGGGATCTACAGCCCCAAGTCTCTGATTCTGGATTTGTGCAGCTTCAACAAGGAGACTAAACCTTGTCATACCGTTTTCGTGGCACCCCAGAAATACCTCCTCCCATTGAGGATTGTCGAAGCCATCACAGCACCCCGATATAAAATCCAAGAACTCCTGCCTCAGTATAAGAATGCAGGAGTCCTTGTTTAGACCCAATAAAAGATGTTGGGTTGTCACTCTGTTTCCTGAGCGACCACCGTGGGAGTTGTGGGGCTCAGAGTCAGGGCTCCTGGGGGCTGTGTGTCCGGAGAGTTGTTTGGGGGCGGCAGCTGGGGCACTCTCTCCCCTGATACTTGTGGGGCTTGAGTGAGTGGATGGTCAGGAGGCTGGGTGTGGATGGGTTAAGCCCTGGGGGTGGTCTCAGGGTGGGAGGTCTTCTCTGGTGAGATGGATGGGAGGTACAGAGGGGCTCAGATCAAAGTGAGCAAGACTGGGGTTGCAAACTCAACTGCCTTCTGGAGGCCGGGCAGGTCATGTAAAGGAGTGCGTCAGAAGGACTGAGGAGGCAGCAGGCAGTGGTGGGGACTGGTATGCACATTCCCCATCCAGATGGAGCAACTGCTCTGTATCCTCATTCGATGCCGTGCCAGGAAATAATGCAGGCCCGGTACTGCCAGTCTTTAGATTTTTCAAGAGAACCAAGACACCCAATATTTTAGATGATTCCTACTGGTTTTTAAATGTGAGCAACTAATTCAAATTGTTTTTAAAATACTGTGTTAGGCAAACACAGACGTGGGCTGTGTTGGGCCTCCAGGCTGCTGGTTTGCCAGTGCTCAGCAAGCCCCTCTGACAGGGCATTGCCAGAGACTGGAGGAGGCCTGACGGGTGGGGGCAGGCAGGAGGTATAAGGAGCCAGAGAGACAGATGGGCAGAGTGACAGGAGCAGGTGTCCTGGGTACCAAGGATGGGGAGCCAGTAGCCCAAGAGAGAAGAGGCAGGCCAGAGATAAGGAGGTGGTAGGTTGGACTTACTGAGGGCTCCTTGGCCCCTCTGGGGGGTCCTGAATCTGAGGCTGCTTGTTAGTGACCTGGGCCAACTCTCTTTGTTGGTAGCACTGGGCCTAATCACCTCTCTTCCTTGGGAGATTCCATAGTTTAGCTTTGAGAGCAGAGGGAGGGCCTGGTAGAGGCCATAGCAGCACGTGAGCCTGGCTTGGGGCTGCCAGGGAACACAGGAGCCTTCTTCCACCCATTGCTTCCCACCCCACACATTCACCTACCCCACCTGGCAAGGAGCAGGTTAGGAGGAACACCTGAGCACTGAGCTGGGCCTCGGGAGCTCTGGAGAGCTGGGCTTTGTTTCTATGTCACTGGACCCTCTTGAGCCCTGTACCTGCCCCTGTTTCCCCAGTGGCAAAGTGAGCAAATTGGACAAGATCAATGGTCTTCATGAGAGGTGAGTACAGTTTGAAAACACATTCAACATTATCATTTTGTTTGTTGTATTTATTTTTTTTTAAGATTTACTTATTTATTTGAGAGAGACCGTGAGCAGGGGGAAGGGCAGAGTGAGAGGGAGAAGCAGACTCCCCTGGCTGAGCGTGGAGCCGGACGTGGGCCTCGATCCCAGGACCCTGAGATCATGACCTGAGCTGAAACCAAGAGTCAGCTGCTTAACCGACTGTGCCACCCCAGTGCCCCTGCTCGTTGAATTTAAAAGAAAACTATTTATGTTGCACAGCAAAAAAGGAGGAGTATGGAATTTTTCTATCAGAAGAGGATGTGGACGTTAAAGAGTAGAGAAGTAGAGGACTTAATCATCTCTGACTTCTCTGATAGTTCCAGATGGCCAAGGAGTCTGGGACGTCTGCGGCAGGTCTGAAAGGGCTGTCTCTGACCTACAGGGATGAGGTGGCACTGTTTGGGGACTAGGTAAATTGAAGTGTCTGACTGTATTTAGGGATCTCTCTGCATTTAGGGCTGTGGCTCCAAGATGATGGTATGGACAGCTTGTTCACTCATTCAAAGTTTATTTACTTTTGTTTATACTTGCTTCATAGCAGATCCAAAGGAGGATAAGAGGCAGCCTTTGTTCCCTCTTATTCTCTAGACCAGGGGTCAGCAAACTCTGTAAAGGGCCAAATAATAAATAGTTCAGGTTTTTCAGGCCATATGGTTTCTATTATAACTATCCAACTCTGTTGGGTGAAAGCAACTTTACTGTTCCAATAAAACTTTATTTACAAAAACAGGTGGTTGGCCAGATTTGGCCTGTGGGCTATTGTTTGCTGACCCCTACTCTAGACAATGAGGAACGCTTGAAGGTTCTTGAGCAGACATGACATGACCAGTGAAGGGGTGAGAAACTTTTTATTGAGTGCTTATTCTGTGACAGCCGTCTTGCTAAACATCTGACTACAGAGGCTGATGACCTTTGGGTTAAGATCCCAGCTCTACCACATAATGGCTGTTGAGGATTAAAAGAGATGGTACATGAACTGGAAAGAAAAGTTAAAAAAAAAGAAAGAAAAAGGAGGTGCTACATGTACAGCAAGATGTAGGATTTTAGGGGCGCCTGGGTGGCTCAGTTGGTTAAGCGACTGCCTTCGGCTCAGGTCATGATCCTGGAGTCCCGGGATCGAGTCCCACATCGGGCTCCCTGCTCAGCAGGAAGTCTGCTTCTCCCTCTGACCCTCTTCCCTCTTGTGCTCTCTGTCTCTCATTCTCTCCCTCTCAAATAAATAAATAAAATCTTTAAAAAAAAAAAAAGATGTAGGATTTTATCCACCCTGCCCCCTGGTCCCGCTTCCTGGGAGGTGAGAGAAGCTTCCAGAATAGGAGGACAGACATGGCGGGTGAGGAAGTCAACTAGAAGGGCAACCCCGGAGTGAGGGCACTGTGTGGGGGGAGAGACTGTGGAGTCTTGAGGGGAGCAGAGGAAGAGCAGAGCTTTTTCTGAAGCCACGATTTAGCAGAGAGAAGAATTTGAGAATGAGAAATGTAAAGAGGTTTTCAAAGAGCTTTTCTGTGCATTGAGGATATGTTTTCCTTTGGTATTTTCTTGAAGAAACCAAGTAAACTTTTGAATGGCTCTTAATTACGATTTTGGGCAGCACTGCTGTTTCTTTGAATTCAGTAACCAAGCAGAGAATGGGCCCGCAGGTATATTTGGGCTGCACCTGTGAAGTCACTGGTACACAGTGAGCGCTCAGTACACGTTAGATGTTATTAGCACCTTTTTAAACTGAGATCAGTTTGGCCAACCAGAGACTCTCTCTCTCCTCTTCGGTGGAGTAGGAAGCTGAGGCTTTGGAAGGCTAAGTCTTCCTAACCAGTGCTAAAGGCCATCCTGAGTGAACTGGAGAGGGTGCTTGATTAGAAGGAGCACAGTGTTAGCAACCAACTGCTTTCAGTGCTCCTTATTGCCCACCTGGGCACAGATCCAAGGTTCTGGAAGCCCACAGTGGTCCACCACCAGGGGAAGGGCCCAGGTTAAGTACTGAGTGCCCAGTGCGTGCCAGGCATTGTGTGAGGCACTCTAGAGAAGTGATCACTTGTCCTGAAAACATTTCCTAGCATTATCCTCACTTGACAGACGGAGAGCCTGAGGGCTGGCATGGCAAAGGCCTCGTCCAAGCTCACTCAGCTACCAGGTGGCGGTTGCAGGAAATGCATGTGTTTCTCCGCAGTTGGTGCCCTCCTAGGCGAGCAGCGTGGCTGCCCGTGCGCCGTTATGCCGCGTTACTCATCTCTCCCAAAGGAGCCACCTGTTTTCAGGATGCAGTACCCACAACCCTGGAACTGTGTTAGAGAGAATATAACCGCCCTCTGGAATGCTTTTGCATATGTAAATAAAGCATAGTCATACTTGCAGAGGCACACCCAGGCCCCTTGAGCCCAAAATAGCGCCCCAGCACTAACAGCTTCCACTGTTTGGGGAAAATGAAAAAACCCATTTGAAAAATAAACACAGGAGATAATGCCAGAGTTTGCGATAGGAAAGTGTTTAGGATCACATCTCGGGGTTGGAAGCAAAAGCATTCTTTAAATCCTCCATTCCCTTTATGTAACTCATGGAAGAATCTTACCTTTGGTTATGGACAGTCCTGGGGGTGACATGGGTCCCTTGACAACTCCCACGGTGCCACCAGAGGCCAGTTCACCATGAGGCCTTTCTGCTATGTGGGGATTTAAGGGGCTTCAGCCCAAGGGTGCTGAGTTGCAGAATTTGTAACCACTGGTTCAGAGCCGACAATGGGGATGAGTAGTTTGCAGGTGGCTGAGAAGCAGCACCAAAGCTAGAACAAAGGTTTTTCGTGGTTGCTGGAGGCTGTGGGCTTGAGGCCTGTGGATGTAGCTGCGGGAAAGCAGCCCATTGAGACATGTGCTGTGTGACTTTTAGCCGGGCTCCTTCCCTTTCTGGAGCTTCAGTGCTATCATTTGTAAACTTTGAGGGGTCTGGTGTGTGGGCTTCCAGCCTCCCCCCCAACTCCAGGGCTGTGCAGGCCCCCTGACCCTCTGTGTCTTCTGTTTTGCCCCCCACCCATTCTTCAACTTCGAAATCCTCCCCATCCCCAAGAGAAAATCAGAATCGAGAAAAAAATGGATCACAGAGACACTTTCGAAGATTATATAGACCGGTTACTTTATAGTATGTCTTTCAATGTGGGTCAGTTTGATGTTTTCTCATTATTAGATTTAGGTTATGCATCTTTGGCAGGAATCACAGCAGTGAGGCTGTGTTCTTCTTATTGGATGCTATCTGGTGGCACAAGATTTGTTTGGCCCATTGCTGGGGATAACTTTGATTATTGGATTGAAATGGTGTCTCCAATGTAAAGTCACTTTTGGTACTTATTCCCTTTTTATTTTAAAAATTATGTACATATGTATGTATGTTGTGGTAAAAAAAACATTAGATTTACCATCTTAACCATTTTTGGGTGAGTAGTTTAGTAGTGTTAAGTATATTTACATTGTTGTGAAAGAGATCTTTGGAATGATTTCATCTTGCAAATTTGAAACTCAATACCCATTAAACGACTCCCTTTTCCCCTTCCCACCAGCTCCTGGTAACCACCATTCTATTTTCTGTCTCTGAATTTGACTACTTTAGATAACCTCCGATAAGTGGGATCCTGCAGTATTCGTCTTTTTCTGACTGCCTTATTTCCCTTAGGACCATGTCCTTGAGGTTCATCCACGTTGTGATAAGATTGCCTTCCTTTTAAGGCTGAATACTATTCATTGCACGCATGTATACACATTTTGCTTATCCATTCATCTGTT